TGGCGGAGCGTGCAGCGGGATCTGTGGGCGAACAGACAAAGACCTCAGTACGGCGCGCTCGTGGTACGAGTGCAAGACTGATATATTATGTACCTGTGGGCGAACAGACAAAGACTGCGAGCCGAGTACATGAGTAAAGAGTCCGAACGGGAACGGGGCGTAAGTAAGACTCACCCTCAGTACGGCGCGCTCGTGGTACGAGTGCAAGACTGAGGGGGTCGAAACGAGAGGCGGCCGGTATATGTGAGCGCCGCGCGAGCGACGAGCGGGAACACGAGGCGGGAGATGGAAAGGCGCGGAACGCGAGCATGTACCGTAAATGGAAACGATGAATCGATGGCGAACGATATACGGAAGTGGCGCAGGGGTAAGAGAAAGGCGAGAATGCGCAGTCGCGCGGTAGGTAGCAAGTAGCGTATCATAGGAAAGAATGTAGGTATAGCCGGTGTGCGATAAGGTGAGCGTGAGGCACGACGAGTGCGCACGTCGCGCACAACGGTGCGCGGGCGCGGCGCACGGCGCGGTCGTCGGGAGCTTGCGTGTCCGCTGCGCTCGGATTGCTTGCTCCAACACTCACGCAGGTGATCTGCTGGCACATCATCAGACGCAGCTTGAGTGAGAGTAAAGCGTGCCGTCACCTGCATGAAGATGATCGTAGCAAACCGCCCGGCCCATAAGACACTGCGTGAGTTCGCCATCATAGCCTCGTTGACCGTGGTACTTGTCACTTCTGACTTTTATCTTGAGCGGACCACACACTGAAGCTCAGCAGAAAAGACGCCGTACGTCTATTAAGGAGAGTAGTAATGTGCAACAGCTAGCTAAGGAGCGACAGGTAGTAGCGCGTTTTCACCAAACAGGGCCTCGACAATTCCCTCGCGTTTAGATGCGAATCTACATCACCTAGTTAGTTTACACATCCTTACAACACAACGTAGAGACTTACCTGGGTAGTCATGCTCGGCGGCTCCGACACGGGGGCCGAGGGCGCGACGGGGCCAACCTGGTTGAACTCGAGCTTCGTCGGGACGCCAGACACCACAGCCCTGTTCAGCGGTGGCAACGGAACAGCAGCGGGCACCTTCGGGAGGCCGCTGGGGACGCCCGTCACATCGCGAGGGACCACTGGAGTGGGCACGGACGACACCGAGGGGAGAGGGGACACCGACGAGGGGAGCGACGAGACGGCGTGGACCGCAGCGGCCGACGCGCGGGGAGGCCAGTCGGTCATGATGTGGCGCGCGGCGAGCGCAGTCGCGCTCTCCAGGTGAGACGAGCACGGGAGAGTCACGCTAGGAACAGCGGTCGTGGGCGGGATAGAAGACGCCCCAGACGGAAGCTGCAGCTGACGAGCGCTGAGGGCAGGCAGGGCAGGCAGGCCGCCGAGGACACCGCTGAGCGCGCCGCCCGCGATATCGGGAGTAGGTCCAACCTTCGCAGGCTGCGCGACCGCGTCACGCCCCAAGATGGAACCCGTCGCCGCCGGCGGGTTGCTGATAGGGCCGGACTCGAAGACCACGCTCGTGGTGATAGGGCCCGACGCGAACGCCGCGGTCGACGTGACCGGGTTACCCGGGATGGGTGTAACGTGACCAGGAGGGCGCGAGACCACCGTGGTGGGGGAGCCCGGGATGGGAGTGACGTGGCCTGGGGGGCGAGTCTCCGTGTTGGCGACGCGGCCGAGCGTGGACGCGACGACGGGGCCGGACGCGACGACGGGCGTCGGGACGGAGCTAGAGACAGCGACGGTCCTGGTGATGGGCCCGGAGGCGGTGATGATCTCGAAGCTGGTCGAGGTGTCGATCGGGGCAGCGAGAGCTGCATGAAGAAATGCATCAGTATCCGATGCGCGGAAACATGCAGGAAGATATGCACGTACCGCCAGTCGCGGCGACGGCGAGGAGGACGAAGTTGCGGAGGGTCATCATCTTGCAAAGGAGAGCGAAGGGAGCGTTTGGATTAGGAAGAACGACGCGTAACAGAGAACGGAGCGGAGGAGCGGACGGCGGTGAAGCCAACCCGCCCTCCCCACTCCCTCTTATACCCCGCCGCCGCCCACGTCGTCACCCCATCCGCGGGCAACGCTGACCCCACGCAGCGTGCAGCAGTCGGCGCAGCGCCGTCCGAGCGCTTCGCGCAGCGGCCGCGGAGGCTTCTGGCACTGCCGCCGAGCTTGTCGAGCATTGTCGAGCGTTGTCGAGTCGGTCATCGCCGCCGCGGTGGAGCGGGTGCGCGTACGCGACCGCGTACAGCGCCCGATCGTCGTCCGGCGCGTCGGCTGCCCGTAGCCGTATGGGCTTCTCGTCGTTCTGGGGGACAGAGGTCGGTGAGCTGGCACACGCACAGATGCCCGAGTTGCGTGCCGGTGGGGTATCAAGCATATGCGTGGGCTTCTTGGGCGCCGTCATGTAACACTCATAGGGAACCGCATGGTATTCCGCCTGGGTTGCGCTTGGAGGACACCGTCCAGGCTGGATGGTGCTGATAGGTACTAGTACGCCCTATGTCTTCGTGCAGCGAGTGAGTATCAGCTAGGAATCATGCGATGATCTCACAGGTGCAGTGAGGTAACCAAATACCGAAATTGAGAACCGTTTCGAGTCGGACATCACACGCTCAACGCTCAGCGTTGGAGAGTACGGAGACAGTTCCTCCGTCAGACTTTGTCCAGCTTGCACGACTCGAAGCTGAGGGAGCTCGCAGTCGAATTCGTGCGGACCCAGGCGAATCATGCTGGTATGGCAGTGGTATGAGAGAGAAAGGCGTGCAGTTTGAGTCTGGGCGTTCTGGCGCCCTTCTCGGTGTCGCGCGTGCGACAGGCGCTTGTTTCAATACACCGGGGGGTCGTGCCGAGTTGCCGGATGGCGAAGGCTTCATGCGCACGTTGACGAGTCGGACCACCCAGCCACAAATTCACAGACTCTCTGGCAGTCTACCACCACCTCTCGTTCGTGCCAATGGATTCAGTCGTGCTCAGGCCAACCTTTCTTGCCCTTGCGTTATAGCGTCGCGATGCCCGTACAACCTGAGAGCAGAACTCAAGTCGGCGCTTCCCGGATGATGGTCCAACGGTCTCGCGCCGGCGGTGATCAGCCTCACTGGGCTGTGCGCACACACTCAGTGCTCAGTACTGACCCACCCATCCCTCTTGGGGATGCGCTGCCTGTTGGCCAAAGAGTTCTAGAATGCCTTAAAACATACGGTGAGCTGGTCTATAACCACACAGACACCTCGTGCTCAGTGCTAAATTATTGACTTCGAAGGCTAGCCGCATGTGCGGCATCGCGCCTTCCTATAGCTTGCATCATAACACCAGAAACCAGCCACGATGTTGCGGCATCCGCGCGGCGACTTTGCGAAAACGCGCCTCAGCTCCCGTCAGTGCTGCGCACTCATCACAGATCCACTCTCTATCATCTCATATTCAAACAGTCGGCCACGGGCATGCTTTCCCGCGCACGATGTTGCCAAGACCTTGCGGTGAGGGCTCACGTTTGCGTGTTGTACCGGCTTCTGAAAATCCTTTTGGAGCTATCATAAGGAAACACACTCGCAACCGTGGCGTCAATCGCGCCTCTCTCTCCTCCATCGACCAATCCGTGTTACACCGGCAGCGCACGCTGTCAATAACCCTGTTCGCATCCGAAAGCGTCATGCTGTAAACCCGCGCAACAAAGCGTAACGGTTCCTGCTTTCGCCTCTCTACGAGGTTGAGGCGGTGCACATCGCAACACCGCAACGGAATGCGCGAGGGACGACTGTATTACAAGGTACACGCGATCAGCGCTTTTCGGAGGATCTAGACGGGAATGTTTGGAACATACCGTCCGTCCTCCGTTGTTCTTCGTGGGCGAGGCGCCCCACAGTGCGGAAGGAAGCACACCTGCTGATACTTTGCGATGCATACCAGGTCGCACTTTGGCCGCGTATGACCCACCTTCTGCGGTCAGTTTCTGCCGTGCTGCGATTTTGACGATCTCGACACAGGACTAATACGGGGACACACGGTGCCTGCTCGTGGAAGCAGCGAGCCTCTGGGTGCTGTCTCAGATCCTAGCCGGCGGGCCGTGCACAGCGCGCCTTTGGTTCGATATTTGACATCTCTCCGAGCGAGTATAAATTGCGACTGCGAGGACGACGACGCTCCACCTCAGTCTTCGCTCTCTTTTCTCCTTCTTCTCCGTACTAATCACCTTCCCTCTTTCTCCGCACGCCGAGTTTAGGAGTCATGATGCACATGCTGAGCTTCGTCCTTGCCGCACTCGTTTTGGGCCGCGGTACGTCGTCTGCTGGTTTATGTATACACTCCCGTTACTTACGCCGTTTGTTTTTACAGCCAACGCTGTCCCTCTCGAGCCCAGGTATGTCACCACGATCACGACCACGATCGGCCTGGGCCACACGACGACGATCTACGAGACGATCGACCCTCCCGGTTCCTTCCCCACCGGCAGCAGCATAACCTTCGACCCCGTCGGCTCCTTCCCTACCGGCACCACTACCTTCGACCCTGTTGGATCTTTCCCCACCGGTACTACCACCTTCGACCCAGTAGGCTCTTTCCCCAGTGGCATCACCGTCGACCCTTCCGGTGCTTTCCCCACTGGCTCCGCTTCAGACGTGACCACCGTGTTCACCTCCATCGGAAGCGCGGCTTCCACCACGTTCGTGGCGACGGTCCCGTCGGTCTCCGGCCTCGACGGCACCACCGTCGTGGTCCCCACCACCGTCAACCCGGGCGAGACCAGTTCTGTGGTCACCTCCGTCTTCTCGGTGCCGACCACCTCCGAGGGACCGACGAGCATCTTCACTTCTGTCCCCGTCAGCGCGTCCCCCAGCACCGTTAGCACGACCCCCGCCAGCGAGCCGGTGACCTCTATCTTCACGTCCGTCGGGCCTAGCAGCCCGATCACCACCATCTTCACGTCCGTCGGGGCCGCCGTGCCCACCACGTCCATCACCGGCACCGTCATCAGCACCACCGCCGTCCCCGAGGCTGTCACGACGTACTACAAGTGCGTCCCGATCGACTTGGACGTGCCGACGGGCGCCGTGGTGTCCAGCAGCTTCACGTTCGTCGGCGCTGCTCCCACCAGGGTCTCGAGCAGCTTCACGTCGGTAGGCGGCAGCCCCTCTGCCGTTTCGAGCAGCTTCACCTCCGTCGGCAGCGGTACCACTGGGATCTCGAGCAGTTTCACGTCTATCGGCGCGGTGTCAAGCAGCTTCACCTCGGTCGGCGGGGTTTCTAGCAGCTTCACGTCTGTCGGCGCTACTCCCACCGGCGTTTCGAGCAGCTTCACCTCCGTGGGTGGCGTCTCGAGCAGCTTTACGTCCGTCGGCGCCGGCCCCTCCCAAGTGTCGAGCAGCTTCACGTCCGTCGGGGGCGGCGTCTCTAGCAGCTTCACGTCCGTGGGCGGCGTGTCCAGCAGCTTCACGTCCATCGGCGCCGCTTCCACTGGGGTCTCGAGCAGCTTCACCTCCGTCGGCTCCGCCCCGTCCGCGGTCTCCAGCAGCTTCACGTCTGTGGGCGGCGGTGTCACCAGCATCTTCACTTCCGTAGGCAGCAGCCCCTCCGCGGTCTCCAGCAGCTTCACATTCGTGGCACCTTCCGCGGTCACCTCCCTTGCCGCGGTTAGCTCTTCTATCTGAGCGTGCCGTCGCGGGTGGATACCGTGGACTACAACCGTGCCTTGCGAGTCTCGTGGCTCTAGAGGATCTGGGGTGGAGTGCTGAGCGGGGGGTAGCGTAGGCTGGAAATGGACCTTGACTGAAATATGCACTACCTACAGTATGCCAGTGCGAGTGACGATGATTCTCCAGCGGACCGTCCTTTGACTTGATTATTGTTTACAGTTTTTTTGGTGGACTTCGCAGTTCTGGAATCGCAGTGGACAGTGCTAATACAAGTGCATACGATTACTTGGATATTGTCCATCTACTCTCGTGCCATTGCAGGTGGCTGGGAGTGTACTGTTGTTGCGCCTGTACGCGCCCGACTGTTTGCATAAGTCACAACCCTGGCGCGAGCGTCCTTGCAGGTTCATGAGTACACTGTAGCAATGTCCGCAGCGAATCCTCCTTCGAGTGAAGCTATTTACATGTAATGGTGAAGGACATACGTGCACATTGCATGCATCGCGACGTCAGAACATGTCACAATTAATTCCACACCGAGTCCGCTGAGGTGACTCAAAGTCCAAGTTCAAAAGCCTCAAGCTCGAACTCGGAGCCTACATGCGCACGAACGCCTTGAATCAGTCGTTGAACAGCATAGATTCATGAAATGAGATACATAAGCTATCAACGTAGATGTGGATATGACAAGACGATCCCAGCGATAATAAGACGCCATCAGCTTTTGAACGAGCTCGTCCCTTTCGATGTAACAAGGAGTGTAGCCGAACGAGCGATGTCAACGCCGACGGTCTTGCGACCGTCGTGCTCATCTCGCTGCTGAAGTTATCATCATAGGCGTTTATGATCGTGGAAGAATCGTCTGAAGAGCGTGAGTGCTCCTTGCAGGTTTATATAGTACCCATCATGTTCCCACGCACGGACCATGTCCAATTCCCATCGATGGGTCCTACAGACGCCCACAAAGGCTCTCGGCGCTTACCTTCTGCACTAACACGAAAACTCGGACGATCCTGAACTACCCTCCCAAACATAGAGGTAATAAAACGTGAACTACGTCGTACTCGTGGAGCTATATAACTGCGCAAGATGCAAAAACTGAACGATGATACCTTGCTACACGTCTCCAGCCTTCTTCCGGCCGCGTCTATCCTGTCCCTCCGAAAGGCAATCCTCCTCCGCTTGCAATATCAGCACCCAAACTAATAATATCGCACAGACCTGTACGCGTTTAGATACTATCTCAAGGCAGCACACAGTCTGGCAAACGGCTTGCGTCGATCAGGTGCTACAGAATCGCTATCCCTTCTCGCATCGCGATGCGGCCACGGCAGACGCGAACGCACTGGAGCAGCTCGTCTTGCGCTCCCTCCGCATTGGCGAATTCTGGCTGTCTCCCTCTGCGAAGCCTCACTGTGCCCTGGAGTATCAAGCGAGCTCTGGGACGGGTGTCTCAGACGTCCGCTTCTTGCCTGGATACGGTGGCCGTTACATCGCTACGGTCTCCAAAGGCATCTGGTCGATGATATCCTGCTGGGACGTCGGTGACCCCTCTGCGGCACAGAACGAGACGCAGCCGCGCAAGGTGGCGGATTGGTGCCCGAAGGGCGCGATCTTCTCTGGCTTTGTCGTGAACACGGACCCAGATTCTGACGCTGTGCTCGCTACGGCCATGCAAATCGGAAGGTTAGTCCCTGCACGATACCGCTTCTCTGCGTCGTGCTGACAGGCACGCATAGCGGGCAGAGGAGCATCGAGATCCTCACCATCACTGGCCGCGAATCTGGAAGCCCATCGCTCGTGTCCATCTGCAATATCGCGACCTCGTTCAGGCCCATCGCGCTGAAGGGCGACTTGATCGCATTCAGCGACGACGCATGTGAGACGATTGTCATGAACTGGCGAGAAAACACGTTTGCGCTGCTCAAAGGCTCGCGGCAGCTCCTGAACGAGAATTTCCAGGTAGGCACGCATGCGGTCACGATATGCCGTTGCTCACTCGCTTTGGCCGCAGTACAATAGATGCCTTCAAGTCGTCTTCGCACATCACAGTGTCCTTGTTGTACGCGCACGCTGTGTGGAGCTCTTTCCGGAGCCTACATTGCGCTTGGCCGAAGACTCGTTCACGACGTACGAGCCTATCGGGTTCCATACCTTTGGCTGGATTGACGGCGTATCCGTCAACCGCCAATGCGACCCGCTGAATGGGACCGACGTATCGCTCGAAGATGTGCCCCTTTCAATACTCTTACGCACTGAGAGTGACAACCCTTGGGCGTCCGGTGTACACACGCTGGAGCAATTCCTTCTCTTTCCCAATCCCGCATTCGCCGAGCTCATGGACGCTCCCCCTTCTGATGCGTCGACAGACACACTTGGGCCATCCACCACTCCCTCGGTCTCTACGCCTCCCCCCATTGCTCCATACATCTTCCCACCCGTGCGCGCGGAGCACACGTTGCCCGCAGTGCGCGGCTTCCTGCGTTGCACGGACATCATCCTCGGCCCATGCGGGACTGCCCTCTGGATCCAGCCCCGTGCCGCACGCACGGCACATCTCACCGGTCTCGACGTGCACTCCTCCGATGCGCAGGTTGTCGACGCGTTGAACCCGGACCATCTCCATCCAGACGACGCCTCGCTGGACCGCGCGAAGACGGCAGAGGCGCTATGCGGAGCGGTGTTCGCGGGCCCGCTCCAGAGGCGCCATCCAGAACTGCAGCCGCGCGCGAGGAGGCTTTGGGTGCAGCAGAGGGACAACTGTAATTGGACGTCGTTGGACTACGATGAGGAACGAGGACGCGTCGCGCTAGGGTCGAGCGATGGGATGGTCACTCTTCTGGACTTTGCGTAGTCGAATTAGCGTATGAACCCAACAAATGTAGCTGTTAAGGCTCTTCGAGCTGACGTTTAGAATCGCATTCCGCGGATTGTCCGCGGAGCTTAACTACCTGGCGCTAACTAGGTATCTCACTATGTAAGCGCTCAAGTCCCGAAATCAGAAACCGCCCACTGAGTCGGCTTGTTCGCGACCACCATGATGACCTCGAGCATATTGACGCTGCCTGCAGAAACACTCGTTGATGTCCTTGAAGACGTCGACGGGAAAACAACGTACATAGCCAAATAGGTGCGATCGTCTCGGGTTTAGTCTCGTTGAGGTGTATTCACAAATCGTCGGTGTGCGCAGGTCTGCCGGGCATTCACGGACATCATTCAGGGCTCGCTACGCTTGCAGTTGAACATCGAGTTAGCTGCCGTTGGGCTTTTCAAAGCGTGTTCAGATGACCCGTGCCTCGACGAGGACCTTCTCACCCTCCGCTAAAAACTCGGGCCAGTCGCCGGCAAAAGATGTGCGGTACACGGGCGAAGAACATTTACCGGAAGAGGTAGATACTGCTCCTCTCATCGCAACATATCTCTGCTTTGCCGGTGCCCACAATCTAGAGTTCATGCAGAGTATCCTTCCGTCGCCGTACCTAATCCGGACCAGTATGATACACACAGAGCTGTTCAAAGAAGACACAAGACCAGGGATGCCTTCGCATGGGAGACTGGCGTTGTGTTCGTGGTGAGTGGTTCCGCATAGGATCACCGAAGTATCGTGCTCACAATGTTAATACTTAAGGGGAGTGAGGGGTCAACTGTGCTATCTCTTCGAGCGTAGTAGATGGTGGTGAGATCATGGGGAAAACGTGTAGATTCGGTCCGTGGGCCCGGCTTCCCGCGATGCGCTCACTCCTGAATTGGGAGAGCCTGTGACTTGAACGTTACCCCCATACAACAATCCCCAACAACCCAGATATACACCACGGTGGCGCATTCGACTCTCGGGTTCTTTCAGACCACCATGAAGCTTTTTGATCTTTCCACCGACTTGTTAGTAACTCTTTTCGAGGGGGCCGACGTCAGGTCGCTGTCTAGATGCAGGGAGGTACGAGCTTCACCGTGCAGACATCTTGCGAGGCCGTTGTTGACGTCCTCTGCAGGTGTGTCGTGCATTCCGCGACCTCGTAGACACAACATCGCTTGGGTACAACCTCGAGCTCCACGCAGCCGGTCTCGTACGCAACACCTCACAGTATCCCGAGGAAGCTGCCCTCAACGAGCTGCCCATGGCGGAAAAGACCTCGCGGATCCGACGCCACAGGCAGGCGTGGCGCGGGCTGTCCTTCGCGCCCCCAGTCGCGACCGAGGCGAGTGTGCTGTACCTCATGGCGCCCGAGCTCCGACGCTTCCATCCGAGCGGGATCGCCGCACAGATGACGGAGGATCAGGACCTGGCGTTCACACAGTTTCCGACGCCACTTGGTGCGCAGAAGAAGGAATCATGGACCATTCCCGCGGAGACCCTCGACATACCCACCGGGATAGACACCTTCGCGATCGACCCGGCGCAGGACTTGCTGGTGATCGTGTGGCGCATGCAGTCAGTCCGTTCGTTCTTCATGCGTGTGCGGAGCTCACAAATCGATGCCTTCTCAGCCAGGGCGGCGGCGTTGGTGTGTGGCACATGTCGTTCAAGTCGATGCGCAGCGGTCTTGAACACCCTCGCGCGTCCGTGCCAACGCGATGCCTCGACGAAGCGGATAGGATGCAGGACCTCCCCCAGATAGACATCCACGGAGACACCGTGGTGCTCCAGTACAGAATGGGCTCCACGTCTCTATGGCTGTTCAATTGGGAGACTGGCGCACTTCGGACACAGGTGCGTCTTCGTGTGCGTCGTACTCGCTCGTCCTGTGCTCACCTCAGTGCTCGCGCTGGACCAGTTCCATACGCCAAACACCGTGTACTGGTCCCTTCTGCCCGGCGGGCTACTCGTGGCGGCCAACCTTGCCTCCTTAGCAGTCGGAGTCATTCCAACAGATTCGACGGACTTGCGCCTGAAATGCGTGCTGGTTCTTCCCGATGAGCTACGTAGCATAGCTCCCAACTTGATCCTCGCAGCCAGTCCGGGCGGTGCGGGTCGCCGCGCGCCTTTCTGCCTCCCGGACGACACGGCGGAGGTCTTCGTCCTCACCGCCTTGCTGGACACCAACGAGATGTGCGCGTGCATCGCCGTGCCGCGTGCAGTGCTGCTCGAGTACGCTACTAGTACTCGCTTCGCGGACGTTGTAGAGAATCCATCGGGCGAATTACCCAAGGTCGCTTGGGAGGAATGGGGCCCGCGAGCATACACCGATACCAAGTCCTGGCAGGGAGGGACGATCTTGAGGGGCGCGAAATCGATGCTTGGCGGGCCCCGCTTTGCCACCCTCTTGTACAACCCGCCAGAAGTACTTCTCCGGATCGTCGAATGGGGGCCTGCGGTTGTTAGCGGAGGAAGCGACGCTGAGGAGGGACTCAGTCAGCAAACCGTGGAGTCCGACGTATCCGCCGGCTCCGCTCCTATTGCAGAATCGGATGCCAGCCTAGGGAGTACTCGCGTGATGAAGGCCCTGCCTCTCCCTTCCAGGGTGCGCACGGTGCCGCTGGGTTTCGACTTGCAGGACGGGTATGTGCAGGTGTACACCTGGGACAACGGTGTCGTTCTCCAGGTGCGTAGACGATTAGTCCAAACGCCACGCTGGTGCTAATGGTAGATGCGCCATGTAGGCTGGACCGAGCATGGCCGTGCTCTCGCTTCAAACGTGAAGTGCGGGGTTCCAGGTTCGCATCGGACGAATCAAGTCCCGCAACCTACAGAATCGGGGCATCTGGCAAGCTGGATACAGATCATCAGACCTAAGGAGTAGAGAGTGTGTGTGGCTCGTGCGAGGTAGCAGTCGTGAGAGGACCTCGTCAAGTATCGAATGAGTATCTATCACAAGCTGTAGCGAGATTCGCAAACAATCATAGTTACACACTGGTCGGAGGTGGGTTTGCGCCGCTGCGTGGGGGGTCGGGGCTGGTAAGTATGTTTGAAGAAAGCGATTCGCGGTCTTTAATGTTCATATCTGCATTCATAGTCAGTACAATCGGAATTCTCGTTGGGTGAGGTTCTCGGTGTCGGGCACACCGTAAAGAAGATCCTAAGAGTAGGTTGAAGTTAGCTTCGGATTGGTTGCTATGTGTGTCGCGCGCAAGCCGAGCGGCGCGTCTCTGATAGTTCGGTCAGACCCCTTTGACCAATCGCGGTAGTATGTAATCGTACCTGTGTCTAGGTATCCCTGGAGGGCATATGCGCATATGTCACAGACGTGTCCATCAGTCTCAGAATTGGTTCGAGGTGAATTTTCGATTCGTACCCGGTTATGAAGGTGATGCGCGCACTGACACACGTCTGCAGTTAACACGACCTTAATGTTCGCACGACGTTATACACGGTGCCAATATTGTGTTGCGGTATCCTTGGTATCATGGCGCCGAACGTCTACGATGACGCTGTCATCGTACTCGTAATGAATAACCGCGTTCTTCATTTTCGCAGCATCTGTAGAGGTGTCATTCCCGACGGCATGATAGGGCATGATGGGCAACGCGAGACGGTAACGACATGTTCCTGGCAGCCTGCCACAAGGGCGCCACGGGGGCCAAATAGGGCCAAACAGCCGGGATGGCTGGAAAAGACGGGAAGCTGTTCCTGGCGGGTTGCAGTGCCGGCCATCTCTCCCGCTTTCTCGACCTTCGACCCTCTCCGCTCGTTTCCCCCGCCATACCCCCCTGCGCCTCGTCTTCTTGGGCTGCGAACACCGACGACGACCACATCACCCTTCGCCCCCATCTCTACGACCTCTGATCACCATGCACGCTCTGTCATACATACCCACCGGGCTTCTCAGCCTCTTCTTCGCGTGGTATCTCCTCCCATTAGCTCACGCCAGCTGTAAGTCACTCTCTTAATACTGGCGGGACTGTTGAGGAATATATGCGGAAGATGAAAACATAGTGGGAGAGCCCCGTAATGAATCGGACTGACCAATTTGTGTGCAGCCTACTTCGTGATCAACCAACCTGCGAAGGGCGCAACGTGGGTCAACAACGCCGTCAACCCTATCTCGTGGACGAAGGGTCTTCTCGACGGTGTCACCGCTGTCGACATTGAACTTGCCCGCCTCAGCGAGGACGGGCTGATCTTCGTCGCGCGCGACGGTACGTCTCCTTCACCTCTATGCCTTCCGAAAGGACGCTATGCCACAATACTCGGGAAGGTCTGCCGATGATATACCTGAAGTCCGTTCAGGTTCGGGTCGTTTGAGCCAGTACTTGTGCTAGATCATCCACGTCCGCACCATACCGCATAGGCTGTGTGGCGAGATGTCGACATCCACATCTTCTGCTAGCTTATCATCAGACCTCCCCGATGTTTAGTGGCGGCTCTACAACGTCGCACCTGAATCTCTCGCTAATCGCTTCGTCACAGTCCCCGCGGCGGTCTCGACGGGCGGCGTGAACATCCTCATCCAAGACATCCCGACCGCAGACGACTACTTCCTCCTCTTCGTCAACTCCACGAACGGCATCATGTACGCGTCCTCGCCCCAGTTCACCATCTCCGACACCGCGAACGGCACCTCCACGCCTGTCTCCGGCTCCGCCACCGTCACGGTCTCCGGCGGGCCGAACCCCACCGCCGTGTTCGCGACGACGTTCCCCCCGTCGGCGAACGGCGCCGTGTCCGTGGAGGGCGCCGGCCGCCAGCTCGCTGCCGTCGGCAGCGTCATGGCGCTGTCCGTGCTCGGCGGCGTCTGGGCGGTGCTATAACCGCTGGATGCGGATGCGGTCGCGCCACGCCGCGCGGGTGGATATCGGACGAGGGCGCGGGTGGGCGAGTAGATCTATTTTATCTGCCTGGGGACACGGACCATCCTAGTGTGTGTTTATTCTGACGTGATGGACTACTTTCAGAGAGATATTAATGGCAGAGTTCGGGCTGAACTTTTTGAGTGAGTTCCCGATTCCGTTGGCGTTCATATAGGGTCTTCAGCAACTGCTCGCGAACGCAGTATGCCACCTGGAGTCGCCAGCCTTCTTCTGGGTGGTAGTACTTCTTCATTAGAGCACACCAACCGAACTATCAACGCGCAAACCTTAACTCTGTAGGGAACCTATATGACCCCGCCCCCATTCCGCATTCGGTCTTGTATCACTCACATCTCAGCTCCTCAGATGGACTGGGCAGAATTGCCGATCAAAATTTGCGAGCGAATCATCGACTCCTGCAGCACCTACCCTCCATCCTTCTACCCAAAGCACCATGCCGATCTCCGAGCATGCGCGCTCACATGTCAGGACTGGCTTCCTCGCAGTCGCCGCAATCTCTACCGCAACGTACGGCTGGGCAACACTAGACAGATCAACGCCTTCCTGAACACCATTGCCGCCCAACCCTCTTTCGCCGCCCTCGTCCGGGAGCTCGTGGTTGGTTGTCCGAAGCCGATCCCGGACGATCGGTCGAAGACAGTCATCCCGTTCGCCCAGGATGCTTTGGTATCTGCACTTCGCGAGGTACGCACCCTCCGGGTGTTCCATTTTCAATGGCAGGCGCAGCATCCCTGTTACTTCCTGCTCGCTGCGCGGTACCCGGTCGTCCAACTCACCCTCGTCGGCGGCACGTATCAGACCATGGCGGAGCTGTTCCGCGTAATATGGGCGTTCGAGCACCTCCAAACCCTCACACTCGCCATCACAGAGCCGTTCAAGCGGCCGGATATGCATGTCATCAGGCCCAACAATCGGATTTGTCCAAACCTCAGAACAGTCACGATTCTCGAGGTACGCTGCTGGTTTTTGCGAGCACTCCTACCGCATCGCATGGTTCACGATGCGCGCTGCACAGCCCGAGCTCCTGAGAACGAACACCTTCCCCCCTCGAGGATGGTTTGGGAAATTCTTGACTCAATTGAGCTTGCTTTGGACGGAGGAGTTCCTCGAGCCGTCCGGTGAGAACGTTTTCGTTCGCCGGTTGTTCATCGCACTGTGATTGACACCAGCCCCTCGTAGACGCGCTCCTGCTCTACTTATCCTCATCCAGTGCCCTGCGGCATATCACCTGGCGGGCAGACTGCCGCGGTAGATGGAGTCACAATGTGCTTGCCGACTGCACGAGGTATGTATCGTACGCGCTGCACGGAATCCCCGCCGACGGGTCGTTGCGGTGGGTCACGCTCGACTACAAAGCACAAGCTGCCATGGGTATCCAGCGGACGTCTCTCATCGACTATGCCCTCAACCAGAGACTAGGCGAGGCCTTCAAGCGCTTTGCGCACTTCGAAGGCCTAACGCTATCGGTACCGGAGCCCAACCGGGAGTCTTTCGGGGTCGCGTGGTGGACGGACCAGATCGCCCGAAGGCGGCGAGAATATAGAGCGCTAGTCGCAGTGGACGTGCGCACCGCCCCTGCGAGCACGGGTGCGTTAGCTCTATATCCAGGCTCGTTTTATGGCATGTTCACGCGAGGATCGTCAGTGTGGGTGGAAGAAAACGACTGGACCGAACAGGAAAGAGGGGCCGAAAAGGAAAGAGAGGTCGAATATTACTGGGAGAATGGACAGATGCGCGTCCTATCCAGGTTCTTCAAGCAGTATTGACTCCCGTAACGAGTGCGGACTGTGAGGTGAACTATCGGTAAGGTTGGGTAAGGGCACACTTTGATAATTCCCGCCCAACGCATGTCTAATATTCTTATTATAGGAATTCAAAGCCTGAAACACAGGGGTCGGTACAAACCAGGGTGTTCTATGTACTCGATAGGCGATGCAACCACTTCAAACCATATATCCCCGCGTTTGCAACGTGCCCGTACGGTACTAGCGTTCAGTTTCCGTGGGGACCCTTGATCACCTATTCAGACCGAAAATTGACAATGCGAAGGTATCGCTTTCAGCCCCGGCGGTGTACATATATCAGTGTACGTCGACCTCTCCGTAGGATACTCCCGGCCGCAGAGGTGAGCCCCCCTCTCGCTTCGTCATACTTCGCCGTCGGGGTTTGCGCGCGCTTCTGACACGACATCCAGCGCCTAGATGGCAGTGTCTGCTATAGCGCGCAAACCCCAATATACAAACCTTATAACGCTGCAGGGTTCCTTTTCTTTGTCCCCCCAGCTCGCAGCCTCGCGTCGCTCATACTACCGCTATCCGGATGGAACGCGCACTACTTCCGATCGACGTCTGCGAGCGCATCATCGACTCTTTCAACTCATGCCCCCGGTTCTTTCCTCCACACGGGTACTTCGTTGATCTTTGCGCGTGCGCCCTCACATGCCGAGACTGGGTCTCCCGAAGCCGCTGCAACCTCTATAGTAGTATAAAGCTCCGCAACGCTCGACAACTCGACGCGCTCCTGAACACCATCGCTTCCCTGCCCTTTCTCGCCGACCTTGTTCAGGAGCTGGTGGTCCATCCGTCGGACAAGTACCTTCCGTTCGCTCAAGAGGATCTAGCGTCCGCCCTTCGCAGAGTGCGCAGAGCCCACATCTGTTACTACGATTGGGCGGCGCACCACCCCCGCTATCATCAGCTCGTCGCACGGTACCCGATTGTGGAGCTATCCCTCCTCGGCGGCACATACCGGACCATGGCGGACCGGTTTCGCGTGGTCTGGGCGTTCGAGCACCTCCAAACCCTCACACTTGCTATCATAGAGCCTTTCCAACAGCCGGGTATACCCGTCGATGAGATCATCAAGCGCAGAAAGCGGATTTGTCTTAAGCTCAAGACAGTCACGATCCTTGGGGTACGTTGCTAGGTTTCTTCTACGGCATTGCACAGCTCACGGCGCGCTGCGCAGCCCGCGCTTTTGGGAACGAAGGCCCTTCCCCCTCTGGGATGTTTCGGGAACGCCTTGACCACTTTATGCCTCATTTGGACGCGGGAGTTCGGCAAGACGCCAGTAGAATGTGCGAATGGTGCACTTTCACGGTATTCCGACCATATCTCGAGTGATACTGGACGTAACTTTATGATTCTGGGCTTGCCAGACTCGTCTGTCTAATGGCTCTCCAATGGTACTATTCGCGAAGGAATCGCATTAGCGAGGATATATGTACGCTATGATATATGTCCAAAACATACCCCTGATGGTGCAACAGACTTTGCGCTTCAAGGAGCAGTTTATCGCGCCCTGTACTTCAGTATATGGTAGATATAGCTCCGTGATACTGTATAAATTAGCTGGGTAAGAACGCGCCAGCATAATAAGACGAGTGGGAGATCAGTAGTGTAGATATGTGCCCCACCGGGAGCACAAGGTGTATCATTGCGTCCGCCGGCTAAAATCGCGCGCAGAAATGCTCTTCTGGTAGTCATATGCCAGTCATATCTAGGAATATACGCATGGGGTATTTAGACTGCACTAGTGCTACAGTACAGGTGAGTATATGTCCTAGATAGCACTCTTGAAGGTAATTGCTATACACATTGACTAATACTACACGTATTGACGTCGGACAAGGCGCGTTTAGTAGCCCTATAGAATGCGCACACAATAAAAAAAGAACGGCATGATTAGGTGGGCGGGAGTGGGAGCTATGGCCCGCCGAGGGAGGCCATCTTGGTCCCAGGAGAACCCCTTACCGGATTTGGGATGTGTCGGGGCGGGAGCGCTCGCGCTCGGCGCCGGCGCGCGGGCTTCGGCGTCGTTTGCGATGGCGTAGGGACACCCCCCAGCACCGTGGGAGGGGGGGAGGGGGGGTTGCCGACGCCGGCAATGATGGGCGGGCGGTGATGGGCGGGCGGGCGTTGATGAGGTACTCAACGCCGGCGCGACATATCTTATCAGTATTGTCGAGCGCGTTATCTCTCCTGATCTATCTCATCTATTCGATCTGCACACAGTACATCCTTGTAGTATTTCAGCTGGTAAAGAAACGATAGGCCGTTTTATCGGCCGCTCAAGCGCTCACCTTTGGGGCTTTGTTTACCGGGTGGGGCCGAACAAACACTCCTCAGCCGATGGTTGAGGCCTATTATCCTTCCTTTGTGTGCGCTGCTTATCCTCACCAATGGAGACGGTGGTTAGGACATTGGTATCCATCGGGGTTCTTGAAGAGGTACTTCTGGTGGTAGTCTTCCGCATCCCACCACTCGCCCGCGGAGACGAGTTCGGTGGTGATCTTTTTGCCTGGTACGCTTGCATCAGGGCCAATCGGATGCGCGGCGGACAGTCGCAGTACATACCAATAGGATCAAAGTGCTTCTTCTGCACCTCCTCCGTGACGCGCTTCGCGATCTCGAGCTGCTCGGGCGTGTGGTAGAAGATGGCCGAGCGGTATTCTGAGGTGCCGACAATGTGAATGATAGCAGACGACGAGGTGACAAGGGAATACGCACGAGTTCCAACATCCTTTCCTTGCTGGTTCTTGGTCGTAGGGTCATGGGTGCGGTAGAAGAATTCTAACATCCCCGCGTCAGCGACCCCACGCCCTCGCTCAGCCTCTGCGGTGGCGACGCACCTACGAGCTCGTCATACTTGACGATGCTGGGATCGAACTCGATCCGAACCGCCTCAGCGTGGTCCGTCGCGCCCGTGCAGACGGTCCGGTAGTCCGGGTTCTTCGCGTCCTCCTTTCCGCCCGTGTACCCGACGGCGGTCTTGAGGATGCCCTTGTTCTCAGACGGCGGGTAGTACTTGAGGAAGATGTGCTCGACGCCCCAAAAGCAGCCCTCCGCGAACGTCGCGACTTCAGGTATTCCGCCTGTGAACCCGTGCGAGTGTCAGAGCGAGCACGTTCCAATGTTGAGAACGCTGCGCACTGGACATGGTCGATATGAACTGTTGGGAGCTGATGCCTCTTGAGGAGGTCGTGGGGCGGAAGAAAGGAGCGAAGAGGGCGGCGAGATGGCTGCGCATGCGGGGGGACGAGGTTGGGACGATGAGGAGCGGTTGCGCCCATCCTGCGCAAGTATAGCGCAAGCACACGTGACGGGCGTAGCTCAGTCAGCGCGGCCTCCACGCGGTGTTCACGGTTGTCGAGCCCGGATATTCGCAACACAAAAATGCGAGGATATGTCACGGAGCAGAAACATTGCAGGCGGTGTGGAACGAGGAGACTGGGAGAATGAGGGGATCATGCAAGGGTCGCGTAAACAGTGCGCTGACGCGGTAGCCCTCTAACCGCCGGGCCGCCACAATTGATGTTCTTGGCATTCCAGGTGGACTCGGAGCACGAGCATGTGTGCAGGTTCGGATTCGGAATGCGACAGCTGCACCCAAAGCACAGGGATATACATCCACAGCATCATAATATACAGGAGGAGAACCACAAGCAAGTCCCGAGCGCGAGGAGGCACGAAATAGGCACCGTGTAGCATGACCCAAAAGGAGAACGAAAGCGCGGATAGCAAGAGACAAGCAAGCAGTTGAGTAAACAGATAATCTGTGGGCCGTTAAACCGGGCTCCGTGGTGGGAAACCATGAAGAGAAGGGAGGATCTAGCATGCGCACTCTAAAGGAACTGCGTCGGGTCGCGCCACTCCGCCTCCTCGCAGCCATAGCACGCCAGCCATTCGCGGGCGTTGTACTGCGTCCGGCCCTTCGGCCACTCGTCGAGCTTGATCTTCCCGTTCACGCGCGCGACGGTGAAGTAGTCGTCGTCGATCCGCGCGATGCGCACCATCGGGAAGCCCTGCTCGATGACCGCCGTCGCGTCCTCGACGTGGAACTGGCTCAGCCCGATGTACGTGAGCGGCGGAGGCAGGCCCGCGCGAAGTTGCTGTGAATATGAGAGACGGGTCAGCCAACGTTCCATATCAGGGTGACTGTGAGATGTATACGCACCGAAACGAACTCGATGGTGTTGACAGGGGTTAACGCCTGCAACGACAGGGCATGGACGCCTCGAGGGACCAACCACATCGCCACCGCCGCAGCGACGTCTTTTGGGAGTGTTGCAGTGAGAGCCTTCAGGCTCGTGAGGGATGGGAGGACTCCCCAGACGGTCGCGTCGTATCCTAACCGCTTCAACGCCCAATCCGCGCTGGGCACGGTGAGCTGTAGTGAACGCAGAGCGTTTCTGCCCTTCAGGAACTCAGCGATGGCCGGGAACAGGTCGTGGTCGTTGACGCGGTAGCCCATCAACGAGAATGCGAAGTGGTGGAGGAACGGCAGCGCGGTGGTGAACTCCCTAAACTGCTTCGACGCGGTGCACTCGAGGATGCACTCCAGCCGGAGCGACTCGAGCTGGTGGCCATTCGCGAGGATCTCCGCGAACGCGCGCGAGTCCGCGGGGAACGTGCCCTGGAAGTCGAGCGTCGTCAGGTGCCGGATGGAGACGGCCTCCGTCGGGAAGCTCCAGTTCGGGTTGTGCAGCGACAGGTAGCGGATGGAGGACTTGTTCTGGACGAGGAAGTCGTACACCTGTGTCGTCGCGCCGCCGGTCGAGTGGTACGAGAACTGCATGATGTGCTTGAAGCGCGGGAAGCGCAGCTCGCCGGTGCCGTCCGAGGGCCTGGGTCCGCCGAGGCGCGTCAGCGCGCCGCCCCGGTCAGGAACAGAGAGCGGGCACACGTACATGAGTGAGAGGCCCGTAAGACGGTGGCTGATGGTCTCCAGGACGCGAAGCACGGAGTACATGTCCTTCCACCGCATCGAGCAGTGCACGTTCCTGAGGTTGGTGAGCTTCGGGAGTGCGTTCGACAACATCCCGGTCTGGAAGGTTATCGGGAACGTCTCCCGCCCGGGTACGAATACGCGCAGCGTCTTGACATGGCTGGCGAAGTCTCCGTCGGTGATGATGCGCGTCAGGATGTCCGCGCTGCGTTGCGACTCTCGTTTCTCGGACGCTGTGGAAACACGACGACGACAACGACGCCCGCCGACCATCAGCTTCACACGCGCGACATCACACGGTTGCCAGCCTACCAAGGTGCAGGTCTATCCTCTGGAAGAGCAGCTCGCTCGCGATCCGTCCGAGGACATGGGGCACCTGGAGGAGGCTCTTCCAGTCCCTAGGTGGGAGCCACAGCACGATTTCCCGCCAAATTTCTGTAGAGAACCCCGGCGTCGCGTGCGGCTTGATGACGGGCTGGTGGGAGTGCGGCATGAGCGACGGCGGGCACAGCGGCGGCGGGAAAAGGGCAGCGACGACTAATAACGCACCTTGTCGGAGCTCACGCCATACTCTGCCATGAGCGCCGCCGCTTCTAGGTTGTCCGGTTGCAGTTCAAGGACCGCCTGGATGTCTGGAGGGCGCGACGGTCAGCGGGACGGGGCGGATGGGAACCGCGCACGGGTCCGCCTAGAGGGGTCTGGACCGACCTTGTCGCGCGCCGACGCGCAGCCCAGCCGCAAGCCTGGCCTTTGCCCGCATCAGGCGAGCTTTCGCTGCGTTTGCGGCTGGCAATCTGGATATCGACAGGCAGGACTGCACCGCGTTCTCTATGAGCGTTCGAGATCTGCCACGGACACGCCCCCATGCACAAGAGACAGCACGTCAGACACGCGCACGGGACTCGAGAGCAGAAACCGCACGGCGGCGACCGACCGTTCGAGCTCGAGGTGGCTCATCGCGTACAGCAGCACGTCTGCCTTTTGCTCGTCCGAGAGTCCTGCGGTCACGTCGCGGACGCTCGCGTCGAGGATTTTCGGGTTAAAGACGTTCAACGAGCGTATCGGGGTGGGCGTCTGCGAGGATCCGGAGGAAGAGGACGCGGAACTGAGCCCCAGGCCAGGGTGGGCACGGTGGTGCATCTTGGTCGTTCAAAACAGCGTATGCCAGTTATGATTTTGATGAGTGCACTGTACCCCGCGAGTCGTATATCTGAACCGTTGGCGAGCTGCGTCACCGTCGTCGCTTAGCCGGGAGCCGGCGGTCTGGACTCTAGGCCGTATGCTGCCGCTCAACCAACACGATCGGGGTGATCTGTCTTTTCGTATTCGTCCTCGACGACTGTCGGGAGGGTCGCGAGAGGAGTCTTGGGCGGGGGGCGTCGTGTCGTCGTGAGAGTAGGATGGAGCGCCGGCGGAGCAGCGTGTCCGCGACTACACCGTCAAACTTTTCCTGATGCGGCCGTGAGACTTCCAGTTCGACTAAATATACCGCGAGGCACCTAGCAGTCACCGCTCATCCGACGTCAATACCACCCGCAACGCGTCGTAGTGGGGAAGGTTACCGCAGGAAGGATTTTGGGAAGTCTGCCAGGCGAAAGTTTGCACCCGCGCAGCAATCTCAAGCGGATCTGAATGCCTTGATGTAGCGCCGGGGTGTTGCCAAATATGGATAGCACGGAAACAAATCTCACCGTGAAGTTGGCGGGTGCAGAGAGTGGGAGGAACGAAGGAGGGGAGAGGGAGACATGTGTACGGATTTTGTAGGGGAGAGGACACGGGGAAAATTTATGGCCGTAGCAAAAGGTGTTGTGCATGAGACTATCGTTTGGATTATGTTGTAGACTTTCGAGGTAAAGGCCAAGTCCTCCAGGTGCATATCTCGAGAGAAAGGAGACAGCAAAAATAGAGCGTGTGTAGAGATGCTGAGTGGAGTGTGCCACTGGCCGCGGACCTGCGCACGGGAGGAAAGTATGGAGAGGGGAATACAGGTGTAAATGCAGCAGTTATATGCTACTCGGACGGAAGCCTGTACGTCATCGATACCGATATAACACGGTGTCGCTCACGGAATAAACGTGCGACGTCGGATGCACACGGACGATCTGATCCACCGCCGAAGCCGCGGGCTGCTCGCGAATAGGCACGTACGGTGTGAATAGCACAGATAGCGTTTGCAGCGTTTGCACGAAACATGATACAGGTATTGCTACATTGCAGCTCGATTCTAGCGGCGAGAACGACGGAGGAAAGAGGCGGAAAAGATGTGGATGGTGGCTCAATCTTCAGCCCAAGCAGTACCGCCGCTTATGCCGGGCGGGAACATGTCCTCTTCGATGCCCCAACCAGCATCGTCCTTGTGTTTCATAGCCTGGGCGAAATGATGAGGGAAATCACGCAAAAGAAATCATGGGTAACTTACCTTGGTGAGATATTCCTTGCTTGTGTTGACCGCGCGCTCTACATCGAGGAGCGCGCGGTTGTGCTCCTGCGCCTGCACTAGTATCCGATCCAGGTCCTCCTTCGAGAACTTCGGCACGACGTCCGCAAAGGTCACGGTGTTGTCGGCGGAGATGGTCGCGTTGATCTCCCCGGCATCAATCTAGAGGCCGTGTTAGCGCAAGCCAGGACCCACCCGATCGCAGGCACCGCACCATAGAAAGGATGATCGCGCGGATCTCCTCGTCGCTCTCGATCCCGACCTCGCGCCCGATGTCGGCCAGACCGAGCGTGAGGTACGTCGCGGTCAGCTTCTTGATCAGCCACACCGGGGACCGATCGATGGCCTGGTTGATGAGACCCATGTTCCGATCCTGCGGAGCCGGTCAGTTTCAAGTCCGCGCAGAGCGAGGGTCGCAAGCTATACCTGCGCAAACTGCTCCTGCTCCTTGGTGACGTGCGCTCTGAGAGTGCTGATCTGCGCGGGGTACATCTTGATGAAGGCTCCGTAAGGGGTGCCTTTGAGAAGTCGCGACAACGCAGGATGCGTGTATTTTGGAGCGGAGGTCGTCTATGGTGTACGTCAGATGCTGAAAGAACTGAGAAACGTGCGTGGATCGTACCTCGCCGTACTGAATTAGCTGGACCAGGACAAGTTTCTTGTAGGCCTCTAGCTGGATAGCCGCGGGCACTTGCGCGGGTGCGCTGACGCATAGCTCGAAGAATTCCTCCGCCTCCCGCCATCGCTTCAACGCCCCGAGAGCCATGCCGCCAGAATAGTGGTAGACGAGGTTGTCGTTATAGTGTAGGTCCGAGACGCTTGTGTCTACCGAGGTGATTGGGACCGCTAGTATCGGTAGCGCAGTGGTAAAGTGACCGGTCGCCACACATGTCTGGATATACAAGTCAGCCATGCTCTGCAGTAGTCCACACAACGTAGTCAGAGATAATCATAGCTACTTAGCACATGCCCGCCCCAGGTGTAGACGGCACAAAAAGGCCAACCTTTCACAAATCACTCGCTGGATTTAATGCCGGTGAATGGAAGTTGCTACGCCGTTGTTGTGTGAAGGGGTAGAGGGTGCCACGAATTGTCACAGATATACGTGCGCGTACTGCAGCCTCATCATACGCCTCTATGCGCGAGTATGGCAAGCCCCCCAGAACGGATACTTCCGTAAATTTCGGGCCCGAGAGGCCGTATTAGATAGATGGCGAGTAGGAGGCATAGGTGGGGCGTCTTTCCAGTCAGGATCTGCCATGGCGGGGCCGCGATTGGCCCTGGCAAAGATATCCACTACGCAGGATTGATGCGCCGCCGAAATGAGACGCAACAAAATGTTGTACGTTGCTGTGCATCTGCTATACGGGCCCTAAGAAAAGACGTCGACATACCTTGAGGAATATAGCGTGTAGAGTCGTCAGGTAGGAGAGATGTGGCGGGTATCGTGTGACAAGGCTGTAGAGTGGTCCCAATGCATACTTCGCCTGTAAAAAGTTGCATTAGCTCGCGCCCAAGCAAATCACAGATATGAGCTGAGAGTTGACAGTGAAAAGCCACGCGCGCTGCTTGCACTAGAGACGTGTCCATAGATAGGCTTCAAAGACCCGCCCGCGCCGCCTTCCTTACGTCCCCGCCCTCCGTGTTCGCAGCTACGGGAGAAATTCCCGGAAGGTCTGACACGGGACTACCATATGTCTTCGGGTGCAAGATGCATATATGTGGGGATCGGGCTACTCCTCGCCGGACACAGCGAGGTGTAACGGCTTAATGCCCATACCAGTGGCGAGTATGATCCACCGGTATTACTGAAGAACTTTGGACCGCCGCATGCATTTGGGAGGGTAGCGTTGGGATACACTCACGTTGTTTGAGCTTTCTGACACACGCACGATCCCTTTCGCCAAGAGTGTTACTGGAGAGAGTTAGCGCCACCGAGCGGTACGAGCACAATGAAGGACGTACCGCGTTCTGGTGCTAAACGCGCCTGCGCAGGGTCAAATTGGTTGCAGAAGGTTTCTATAACACTGATCGTAGGGGTTGGCGCGGCAGCCGAATGCAATCTTGCTGAACTGCGGTATGGTGAGGTGCATGTCCGAGCTGTGCGATCGATGCACGTACATAATATACAGGTACCCCAGCGTGTTCCTTTGTGGATCCAGTACAGAGAGTGGGTCCTGTCCACTCGAAAGCGTGCTCGCCAAGATGATGTCCCTCGACTCCTTCGGCGCGAATGATTTCAAGTAATGGTGAAGGTTGTTCAGGTTTGTACTGGTTGTGAGCTGGTGGAGGACATCGTCAAGCGACGCGAAGCCGCCAGTAGTTTGAGAGGAGCCGGCCGCGTTCATCGTGGTATTGAGGATAGAGAGCAGCGTGCGACGCGGAGATCGGTCGAAGCAGCGAGCAAGTGGTAGCAGACGATGAGGACAGGTACGCTTTGGCGCCCGAGGATACGCGCAATGTACTCATAGGCGCCCATTTGTGTGCGCGCGTGCCAGTGTGGCGCGCGAAGTACGCGTACCATTCCGAATGTCTAGTGCGGTACAACGTCTTGTGCTATTGTGTGCATATTGATTTGAACACCATATTGTTAATATTGAGATGCTGGTGCATAGAAATATGGTTCCCGAAGTCCGGATTTACCTACACATTTAGAGTCAAGCAGACCAGTAGCAATATCGATGTATTCGCGAATTGCTGCCACCGACGAATTCAACGGTCCAAAATCTAGTGGACTGGTGATAACATCGTCTATGCGTAGGTAGCGCGGATGGTAGTGGCATATATGCATAGCACGTTAGGTCTAGCGTACACGGAAGTCCGTGCGGACACAGACTGTGCGCCCGTTGAACGTCGCAGTGAGATAGGAAGCATTTATACAGGGGCGAATTTGTCCAGTCCTGATTTTATTACATCTTTAGGCGGGGGCATACTTCAAATCCCCGATGTAGTATCCATAGCTGAGCATTGGCGGATGGAACGGGGTTTGCCGACTAGGAGCCTTCAGTGCCTGTCAAATATGAACCAGCATAGCCGTGCATTTATGGCTCCTTCAAAATACACGTTGGCCTAGGTCGGAATGTATGAGCTCGAAGTAAGAGATCAAGAAGAGAACGCAGTTGAAGGAGTGGTGAGCGGCGATCTAACTCGGCTTATAGCATTTCATTCCCACGCATTATATCAAGACGCCGCCGGCTACAACTACACTTTTGGAAGTTTGTTAGTAGTCACTATAGAAGCAAACCAACCTTGACGTTGAACCACCACATGCTCCGCCCTGCACCGGCCGCACGCCCGCACGCTCAATAGTGTATAGTAGCAGGAGGTACACACTTCGAAGGTAACGAGAAGATGTTGGACTAATATGTCAGAGCTCAGGCGTCGGCTCACCTTGGCAGTAGATATTTTCGTGTTGCCGAGAAGTCCTGCACGACCTCGAGCGATCCATAGCTGCTGTCTCGTGAAATTATGGCCGAAGAGATTGAGTCTAGTTACGGAACATGGGCGCCGCCCATATACAACATGACTCATCCTCCAAACGACATTCACTCGTGTCAAGTTGACGGAGGTCCGTTGTGCGAAGGAAGAGCCGGCGATCCGTCGGTCTTCGCTCGCATAGCAAAATGGCGAGCAAAACATTCGCTACACATTCACAAGTTCCTCCCACTGACACGCGACACGCTCACAGGTGCCCCGACGGTTCGGCCGCCCTCGCACAATGCGAAGATAGAACGTTCAGATTTCTCCAGCTGTGAGCTCTGGCAGCTGATCTGTCCTTGCCCCTGCGACGTCACGGGCTCATTCATGAACGCTATCCAGACCGGCAGAACTGCTTGGGATCACGGTGGAATCCACGCTCCTGGCTTCCCTGCCTAGGTCCTTGACGCAATCTGCCCCCATTCTGGACTACGCGTGGTATCCGGCCGCTTCAGTGCGAGACGCAGCCTCCTTCTGCTTTGTGGCGTCCGTACGAGAGTGCCCCGTAAAGCTACTGGATGCGTCTGATGGAAGGGTAAGCATGTGGACTCCCACCCGTGTGGGCCCTATCCCGACCCGGCTCATCTATTTTCGCCGACCCCAGCTTCGTGCATCTTACAGGATCGTAGATCATCGCGAACGCCATATCGCCCCTCACAGTCTGGCATTCAACCCCGGCGCAAATAGGTATGTTGATCCGCTTCCCAGCCTCGCGCGTACGTAAACCACCCTTTGTGGCGTTAGACTCTATTGCGGCTTTGAGGATGCCATCGAGGTCTTCGACTTTAATTGTCCCGGGGAAGGCACGCGCTTACGCACCACACCTTCCAAGAAGAGCCGAGACGGTCTGAAAGGTTCTGCCCCGCTTCGCCTCCCTGGGAGTATACACACACTTAGTTTGATGCTTATCGACAGGCATCATATCCGCGCTGTCGTTTGCGCCCGATATGTCCTCGGGACTGTACGCGGCGGGAACACTCAGTCCCTCTTCTCCGACTTCTTCAAACATTGCCATCTTCTCTGAAGACACGGGCGAGGCACCTGTCATGTTTCTTGGGGCCGATGACCCGCAGCGTGGAGCAGGCTATGGCGTACGGGCTAGTGTTTCTCAGGTATGCAAACGAATTTGACATGACAAACGTTCCCAGACTTACTTGGTCACCAGTTGATGTTTAACCCAGCGCGGCCGTATCTTATGTACGCCTCATTCCGCAGAATGGACACTATATTCTGTTGGGACCTCCGCGCGGACGTGGGCCGGCCGCTCGCGAAGTACACGACAGCACCCCGACCGATCAGCGGAAAAGAACGGAGAGCTGCCACGAACCAGCGGTTGCGGTTCGACATTGATTACGGAGGAAGATGGCTGTCCGTCGGAGACGAGGTCAGTCTCCATCGCCGCCGCCCCTCACACGGGAATTAACAGAGCACACACGCGGACGCCACAAGGACGGCGGCATTTCCGTCTTCGACCTAGCTGCGCAGCCGGATCCTGCCAGCGGTGAGAACGCACCCCAACCGAGTTCAACACCGCGAACCACGCCTATCATGCAGTTCGACGCACATCGTGGTACGTCGTTCCTTTTGCTGAATCATCGTGGCCCTGTGATTCGCCACGGCTTCTGACGCCCCTCGAGATGCGGTAGGGTCGGTCGCCTTCCATCCCCTCCGGCCGCTTTTGCTGTCGGTGTCGGGGGCGAGGCATTTTGAGGACCCCGCATCGGCTTCTGGAGATCGCTCTGACTCCGACGATGATATGGAGGACGCCGAAATAGTAGGCGCCAGCTCGGCGAAATCGGGGGAGCCACCCGGAGTGACCGTTAGTCGCCAGCGCCCACAACCGATCGCCCTGGACGCGTCGGTCAAGTTGTGGTCTTTCGAGCGAGATGTAGGGCACGATGGCGAAGTGCAAGTAACTCGTTAACAGAAGTATAATTAACTACTTTACAATGCAAAGCGAAGACAAAGAGGGCGATATCAAAGCACTAAAAAAGCATGTAACGAGGAAGGGAACACGGTCACTCGAAGTCGGTCATCGACGTCTGTATGAGCTGAGCGGTGAGCCCGGAGCGCGGCTTGAACTCGCATTTAAACGGCACCGGGTACCTGAAGGCGCGGTCAGTTACAACGCCGCTCGTCATGAGATGCTCACACTCACGTAACAAGCCCGCTCAGATACTCTCCGCTTGGCTCGACCACGTTCCCGTCGTCGTCAACGGGCTTGGACAGCGTAAACGTAGAGAGGACCGACGCGATGGCGATCCACATCGAGGCGCACGCCATATGACGTCCGGGGCAGATCCTCCTGCCGAAGCCGAACGCCGCCAGCTCTGCGTCGCGCATAGTGGTCCTGAGGCTTCCGTCTGCGTTGAGGAACCGCTCCGGAATGAACGCCTCGGGGTCGGGGAACGTCGCCTCGTCATGCAAGATAGCCCTGAAGAGGAAGATCGTCCGCTTAATATTGCAATTGATACGTGCCGGATATACACGTACCACGAGTTCCCTACAACGATTGATCCCGCGGGAAGGTGGTAGCCATTGTAGACGTCGTCCGCGGTGAGCCGGTGGGGAACCGCTGTCGACGTTCTCGTCAGATTAAACTGAGAATTCCAGCAGGATGAATATATATACCCAGGGGTGTGACCGGCCGCCATCTATATCCACAGGTAAGCTTCTGCGTGATAGCCAGAGTATGTGGGCGTATGCTAACCTGAGAACTTCCTTGACGATTGCAGAAACGTAAGGCAGGGACCCCTCATCAGAGAAGTCGGGAAGGCGATCTCTCCCGACGACCCGGTCCACCTCGGCTTGTGCCTTGCGCTGGACTTCCGGATACAGCAGCATCGCGAGGAAAAACGAGCCTATGGCCGAGACCGTCTGTCGATCGCGGTGAGTGTCTGAGTGAATCTGAGAAGCACAGAACCATTTACCGTGTCAGAGCCCCCTGTAGGCGTAGTCAGTCCTCAGCCGAGCGGTCCAGGCTCATGTGCGCAAGCACTCACCAGTATACGCAGCAGCAGCGACACCGCTGATGACGTTCTCCCTGTGAGGTTTGTCTTGTCCATCGTTTAGGTCATGCAAGAGCGACATGATCATCGACGGCGACTCCTTCCCCTCGGCCTGGCGGGTCGGCGTCCCCGAGGTCAGTACTTCTTGACACCGAAAGCTCGGTAGAAGGCTCACCATCGCGTTTCTCACGGCCTTGAACGGCACCTCGACCATGGCGTTGGTTGCCTTCCTCCATTCAGCCGCCTGGCGCTTGAACGTGGCGCCCGGGCACCAAGAAGGAATGTGTTTGACTATGGGGGTACCCGTCGGTTCTGGAGCCCACAAAAGAAGTATTCGAACTCACGGAAGGGGATGTAGTCCACAAGGTACGCGCCGGCGTTCCCAGCCATGGACATCGCATGCAGAGCCGTCTCCGCAGTGGCGATATATGGATCATTCTTCGGCTGTACGTCAATCCCGTATGCGACTCCGAGAATGAGGGATCCTGCCATGCTGCCCGGGCATCAGAACCGTGTTCGGCCCCCACGAAGAAGATGAGGAAACTCACTGCCGCAGGTGGACCATGAACTCGTCCGGCGTCTGGAGCAGCCGCCGGAGGAGCTCGCGAGCCACCTTGAGTTCTCTCGGCCGATAGTTCGTGGCCGCGTTCGGGTGGAAGTACTGATGGAACACTCGGCGCCGTTCTCTCCAGCTGTCACCGTAACCCATGAACACGAAGTGCCAGTCGCAGCCGACCCTGGATGAGCAGCTTAGCGAGGGCGTGCATGAGAAAGGACGTGGGGCTCACAATTCATTGAGCATGGGCATGCGTGTCCTGCGCGACATCGGTCATCATGGAGGCGGCATTTGATACGCGCAATACGTACCTATCCGAGTAGAGCGACGATCTTTTCTCAAAAAGGTCGTGCGCCGCTTGCGCGGAATTGACAACAATGACCGGCGTCCCGGCAAGGTTGAGGTGTATGATATCAGAATCTGTAGCAACGCGCCCGGCGGTAAGCGTCCAGCGCGCAGCACGCTCGTGAGACGGACTCACGATGTTCTCGGCCCCATTTTTCGTACGCGAGCCATTCGAACTCCTTGGGGACGTCGAAGACGTTCCCGAGGAGAGGAAGGCCCTTCGGACCCGGGGGAAGATTTTGACGTTTGCGCCTAACAGTGAGGAGCGCGAGCAAGGCGACGGCGGAAGCAAGCAGAAGCGACGGCAGGTCGAAGAAGGCGGCCATGGCGAGGTGGTGTGCGGGGATGGTGCAGCTTCACTACACACTCTGCGGGGTATTTATCCTCCTGCGTGACATTGCCCGCCGCCTCGTTCGTCCACGATTGGTGCTTCCCGTCCATCCAACGGCGACCCGTCGCATACTGTAGGAGCGTGGTTTAGCCGAGGGACATTTACGAAAAGATGCGGACCCATTGCATCAAGCCCCCATGGTGTCCCCAAGAACCGCCTGCATATGGCTTCCATGTGCCGGCGTCGAGGGAGGGCACGCCCGCGGCATAAGTCTTAGGTAAAGAGGGTGCCAAAATAGCGACGGAGCAGTTCATGCAATTGCCGTTCAAGCTTTGCCTTTACTGCCAGATCTCATGGGTGCGGATTGTCGCCGGCGTCGTGGCGTGTGTACTCGGAGATCCCCATACTTCGGGAAGAGTGTGCGGCGGCGCTATTCCGGACCCACCTGCTTGGTTCCCAGACCCTGGGGCATTATGGGAGAAGCCGCAGAGAGAGTGGATATGTGGACACGGCCAGGGGTCATGCAGGGCCGCTTCCTAAACTTTGGTTTTAATGCGGACATCGGACGGAGGCCACGAGCACGGCGGCAAATGTGACTATCGCACGCACTAGGCAGCCAATGTGCTACAGCAACCCTACATGCCGCGTGAATCTACGGGGTGAGAGAGCGACATGACGACCCGCCCGCGCTGAGTGTTCTTGTCCTGCTCGACGTCGACTCTGACCTTGATCTTGTCGAACACCGAGATCGCCACGTCCTGGTCGCCCGACGGGATCGTGATCGTGTAGTTGTCGGCATCGAACTGTATCTCGCGCTTGAACGTCACGAGTCCCTCGAGGCCCAATCTGGGCGGGGAAGGTTACAGTCTGCTTCTCACACCCCAACCTTAATACCGGCAGGAGCACGTACCTGGAAACGAAGACCCCGAGGCCGTTTCTGAACGTCCGAATAACGAAAGCGTCCTCGATGACGGTCTCCTTCTCGCTGCGCGCCTTCAAGGCCAGGCCGACGTAGAACTCGACGCTCGCTCGGCTGGCCATCTGCGCCATCCGGTGCCGCTTGTTCACGACCTCCAACACACGCTCGACATGTGACTTCGAATGCAGGCTCGCGTGTAAGGAAGTGTACCCTATCGCCGCGGAGAGCTGCCTATGCGCCAAAACGTCTTCCAGGAGATGGATGGTCAGGATGAGATAACGCAAGCGAAGCACAGAATGGCCTGGCTCACCCGCATAGCGTCTGATGGGACTCGTAAAATGCGTGTAAATGGGACTTGCCAAACCGTAATGCCCGAACGTATCCCGGCCCACGCTGCCGGAGCAGAAGTACTCCGCCGACAACATGCAGCGCGTTGCCATGATGCGAACGAGGGTATTGAATGCTGGCTCGGTGGGGTCCTATGAGAAGTAATGAGGGTGCGGAGGGGCGCGGTTCCATCAGACCACGCTTACCACGCACTCGTCCAGCGACGCCGCCAGCGCTCCTGAGCTGGAAACGTCGAGGCTCATGCCTCGGCGTTTCTTGAGGATATCTTGCAGCTTCTCAAAATTTGTTCGGGGCGGAGGCAGGTGTCGCCTGCAGGCAACGTGAGCACAGACGGCCCGCGCATCAAGGGAAGAAGCACATACCTCAGGACGGCGGTCTGTGGGAACGTCTCCTGGATCTTCCCCGCCACGCTGATGTTGGCAAGCAGCATGAACTCCTCAACTAGGCTGTTCGTCTCCCGCTGCTCCTTCTGCTCCACGTCAATGGGATCGGAAGATTCGGAGCTGTCGAGGTGGATCTTGACTTCCGGCGAGGCCAGATTCAGCGCCCCCGCGTCCATCCTGCCCTGCCTGAGCTTCCGCGAGAGGTCATTGAGCAGCCGGATGCTCTCCGTGAGTTCGTCCGTCTGCTTTCTGCAAAAGGATAAGAACTCGTTCTCACGCGCGCCGGTGCGCACTTACGGGTCGTCCTTACGAATCTGGGCTTCCTCGTACGTAAACGCAGATTTTGAGGCAATTACCGATTTTGTAAAGCGCACGTTCACGATCTCGGCTGCAGGGGACAGTTCCTGTGGTCGCACGGTGAGCACCTCATGCATAGATGGTCCCAGAACCAGAACCAATGACGACACCTACCCATATGACGGAGAACGCTAGTCGCTCCACGTGAGGCCGCAAAGAACACAGGTTCGTCCCAAGAAGCGCGGGAAGCATGTCTATCCGCTTGTCGACGAGGTAGACCGTCGTGCCACGTGCCGCCGCTTCGTTGTCCATTGGGGTGTCGGGGAGGACAAAATGCGATACGTCGGCGATATCTGCAATATGCATCGGCACATCAATCTCGGCGTGTATACGTTAAGAGACGGAACTCACGGACGCCGGCCTCGATGTTCCCGTTGGGGAGACGGCGCGCGTGCAGCGCGTCGTCAATATCTTGGCAACCTAAGCGTTGCGACGTCAACGACGACTCACCCTCGCTTTCCAAAGTCCGCACTTACCGGGAGGGTCTATACTACAAATGATCAAGTCCCTCAAATCCTCCCGGTCTCGCCAGTTGGGGTCCGCCGCGGCCTTGGGCGGAACGACCCAGCTGTCGCCCTCCGGCGGAAGACAGTCTAGAATGGCCTTCCCGAACGGCCTGTAAGGTACATCGAACTCAAGCAGTAGGGACTCTTGCTCTGCCTCCTTGCTCTGGACTTTGCCTAGCGCGCGGACGAAGTGCCCCTCGGGGTAACGCGAAGTCCGCTCCCACCGATCGATAGTCACCAGGATCTTCTGTCCTATAAGCGCCGGCGCCTGGCGTGTGCGCAAGCGAATGCGCGGGAGAAGGCGGGAAACGGGAGTAGCGAAGACCGTCTGCTGGGAAAGCGACGTAGGATTCGTGGAGGTGAGGGACGTGCTATCGATATGACACACGTATCTGCAGCGCAATGTAAACATCTACGTTGAATGAAGTGAAGGTTGGAGACACGCACGACCGCCAATTACGCTTGACGATGCCGACAACGCGGCCCGTGGGCTGCTTGCTAGAAGTGAGCTGCTTCGTGAGCTCCGTCTGTAGCACCTTCCGCTCCGCAAGGGCCTCGTCGTCTTCGCCTTCTTCTTCGGAGTCCTCGGCATCATCATTTTTCAACGTGGCTGTTGTGTGTTTAGCCCGCCGCCTATCACCAAATTGGGGAACAAGAACGTACCTTCTTGGTCCACGACCTCGTCGGCTGGTGCTTTCCAGTCCTTCTCGTCAAAAACTTCTACCGCGACAACGTCGCCCTGAACGGCCCGGTTCATGTGTTCGCGGCCTATGAGTAGTACGGGCTTCTCAAAGGCAGGCACGGACACGTTGCCCTGCGGCGCGGTAAATTGAGTGAGCGGTTCGCCGCTATTGCGTACGTAAGTAAGACAAACCTCCAAGTAATTGTACTGGTTGGCGTTGAAATGGCCCTGGTGCAGCTGACCAGACTTGATCCCAGCCTGCACTGTTGCCGTCGGAAGGTACTGGAGAACAGTGAGCCAGAGATAGACACAGCGAAAATTGTTTTGGGGGACAAACATCGGGATACAGGGCTTGGCGAATTGAGGCCGCTCGCGTCGGCTCTATGGTCTCCGAACCGGCAGCTGAGAGCAGATCGAGCAGCTGCCCAGATTCCTTCATACCCTCCACATATTTACGGACTGAGAACGCAGCCGTAAGTAATGAGCTGCGGCGGAGGGACCCTGGTGAGACCTACCGGACATGCACGTCAAGCCATCCTTCTCTCCCTTTTGCCGGTTCGCGACGTCATCGGTCAGTAGAACTACCGGCGGCAAGGGTGGCTGAGATTGCCCTCGGACAGGGGGGCGAGAGAGAGAAAGATGGCTGTTGTACCATGCGGTTGCCTTGCGGATGCCTGGACAATGTTTCAGCGCTCTGATCCCCCGCACCCTAACCAAACCAATACCTCTGTCGTTGCGGTCATTCGGGGACTCCCCTTCCTCTCTAATCACGGCCGTTTCCCTGCGAGCTTACCATGTATAAATAGAGCTAGGATGACCGACGCTACACACTCACGAGCGGTACTCATTGTAGAAGATCCAAATTTTCTTATCATCGGCTTTGACCAATGCCTTCAAGCGATTGTACAAAGGCAATGAGCGGTGGCGGACTTCTTCTAAAACCGTCTGCAATAGTATCATTGGGGGGCTGAAGAGCGGTGATTCCATTAAATCCATCTAGGTGGAGAACATGAGTTTGAGAGACAGGTACGTGAGGATTTACACGGTTGCCGGTCCAAAATTCCGCCGGGCATGCACGGCGATCATGGCGAGGATGGGTGCGCCGACTGACCTGGGACAGGAATATGTTGGTGTCAGGTAAGACGAAGTGCCCGTTCTTGAATGACGCGTGTTCTAGCGAACCCGAGGACGGCAAGAGAACATCTGCGTCATGCGCGCAAAGGCCGCAACTGTGAATGCCGCATGCAACATCGTCACGAAGGTACCGTTCGCGAAGGACTAAGAGGCCCACACTTCGTTAATTCCCGCACTTAATGTGACGCTGGAGACTCACCCTTGATGACCTTGCCCCTCGCCGTCTTCTTGAAGAACTTGCGCTGAGTAACGACCGCCTCCGTCCGAGGCCGCTTGCGTATTGTAATCTCGGCCATGTTCAAATCCGGTTGTCTTGGTCTTTCTTCCTCCAAGTCAAGCAGTACACGATACTCCGGTGAGTAGTTGAGCAGTCGGGCCTTGCGCCGCGAAGATGAAGAGCAAGACGCGGTCCGGAAGCAAGCGCTCGAGCAGCGGTGCATCGTGCCTCGCGATTATATTCAGGCGGAGCCTCATTTCCTTTGGGGCATCTGCGACTGCCGGGACCTGCCGGAAGTGGCGGAGAATGAATAACGGGGGGGGGCCCTGGCCTCTGGGAAAGTGGACTTCGTCAAACTTGAGCTTGAGCGCGGAGCTTGAGCATCAAGACATATCCTCATATGCGACCACATACTCAATCACTCTATGCTTTTGGAACACCGTTCGACTTGCTGAGTTACCACCGGATATATGCGCAATTCAAGTTGCTCTATATGCAAGGGAACAACGACGTTACAGTGTCCCAAGAGGCACACCATACTGTATTGCCCGATGCTTGGGTTTTGTCGCACCCCGCCGTCTGTGCATACGTGAAGGAACGTACGTTAACACATCTAGGTGTCTTGATGTTTCTGACACGTTTTTTCTCGGCAGAGCATCGTTTTTTCCAGGTGTATCCCACTAAGGATTGCAGCAGGCAATAGTTACGCATATACGCTTCTTCCTCCTCCCACACACTGCGTATTCAAAACTCGCCAGCATAAACAGTGCCTCAGTGTACTCATGACTCTAGGTGAAGTGTAGGTATAATGCGCGGCGATTGCACTACAAGTCACATTTTCCGTATCCTGTCGCGGAATATCGACCATCTGCTATCCCACGACGGGATAAACAAAACGAAAATGCCAAACTCGCGCGCTATACCTCCTCTGGTCCCGGCTCCACTCCGAATTTGGTGAGTAGATTATGCACATGCAATACGGCATCCTGGAAGATTTAAGGCCATAAGGAACACTGACAGACGAGGTAGAGGCCAATTTGCATATGCTGTCTTGCGTTGCACGTCCCTTCGTGGGACAGTATGCTGATATGCTCCCCCAGCTCGAGAACGGAGTTCAAATTCCTCTCTAGAACAGCTGGGAATGAGCCTGCCGTCGCGTGGCCGACGCTCAGGCTCAAGAATGCGATGTCCATCTCCTTCCGTTCCTCTACAACTCTCGTTGGCAGCGGGCTCCGCCAACACCGCGAACACCTGAGAACGAGCCAGTATCCGAGTATAGCCCACGAAGTCGCAGAGCGTCGTGGTCAGGCTCGCCTAGCAGCTGACCTGCAGGGCCGAGCGAGTCGACATCGCGCGTGCCGGCAAGGGCCGCATGGCACGCACGTTCGACGCCGAGATAGTATAAGATAATGGCCTACAGCGCGTCTCTAGGCAGTTACGCGCCGGCGATGGCGAACACCCTCTGGCAGTGGGCGGCGCACCTCCCGCTGCTCTGTTCTCTGGTCGGGCTCGCATCTGGCGACACTGGGAAGCTTGCGTCTGCGCACGGAGTCTATAATTCGTCCGTCACACCGGACACTCTACCGTGGAATACCTACAACTACTGCAACGCGCCCCATGTGAATGCGAAGCACTACAGCAGGCCGCCCAACGCCCCGCACGCCAGGTTGGTGTACCTGAACACCGTCATCCGCCACCACAAGGTGCGTGAGACTCGTGCCTGACTTCGCAGCCCGGCGTCTTATCCTGGAATACAGAGGACACCGGACAACTTATATCCGAGCGAGAATGAGCTGAACTCCGCCCCCTGGGAGTGCGCCGACTTCTTGGAGTTCAGTTACGGCGGCGGAGGGGCGCACGTCTTCCACGAGACCGTCAGTCCGCCTTGGCACCCCTTCCTCTCGCAAATATGGAATGGCACCTGCGACGAAGGCCAGCTGACCAAAGGTGGACTCGAGGATGCTATTCGTCATGGGCAGGTATGCTTTTACCTCTCGCCGGACAGAGTCAAATGCTCCGAAGACCGGCTGGGAGACTCCTGCAGGCTGTTCTTCCCCTCAGGATGTTCTTTGCTTTCAAAGGCGCTGAGGCCGTTTTCGGGGGAAATGCCACCATGCCGCGAGCTGTCACTGACTTCTACATAGGACTTCTGGTCGGTGTACCACCACGAGCTGGGGTTCCTTACGTCTGTGAACGAACAAGACATCTTCATCCGCACCTCGACGGAGACCAGAACGTTCCAGGTGGCGGGCGGCGTGCTCGTCGGGATGGATCCGAGCATGGCGACGAAGACGTTCCCGGTGACTACACAGCCATCGCCTGTACGTCGGCCCCGCTCCTTCATTGGCTGCGCGCGCGAACTCTGACGTCTTCATGAACTTCCAGATCGATTCCATTCCACCGAACTACCCCTGCCCTAAAGCAGACGCCATCCGCGCCGCGTTCCAGGCCGTCCCTGCATGGACGGACCACCTCGCGGCGAACACCGCGCTCAAGACGCGCCTCGACGCGACCCTCGGGACGGCCGGCCTCGACGCCTGGGCATCGTGGTGTGAGTTGCGCCGTCCGCGCAGAAGCGCGCCATCTCAGGCTCCACCCGCCTTCTGACCGCGATCCGCCCGCAGACGATCACTTCTTCGACACGTTCAGCTCGCGAACGTGCAACGGGCACCCCCTCCCATGCAACTCCACGGGTGCGTGCGTCTCGGACGCGGACGCCGCCAAGGTTTTTGCCATCGGGGACTTCGAGTACAAGTGAGCCGCCCGGTGCTTCCCTGTATCGCCGGTCTGCTGAACAGGGTCGGATGCCAGCTATATCTGGAATGCGGCCGAGAACGCGACGGCGTATTCGCAGCTCGACTTCGGTGAGCTACGTCCAGCGTCGCGCGCGTGTGACCGAGACCCTTATCCGCGTTTGACCTGCAGGGGTGTTCATGCTCGAGCTTGCGCAGAACTTCAAGCTCTTCCGGTCTGGAGGCGATCCGCATAAGTTGAGGTTCTACGTAGGGCATGACGGGACGATGATACGCCTCGCTGCACTCTTGGGCATTGGCAAGCTCGGCCCGCTCCGTTGGCCTGCGCTTGGATCCGAGATAGTCATGGAGGTGAGAGGTCCAGACGAGCCTGCTAGCATATATGCTGACACTGCGATAGGTTTGGGAGGATGATAAGAAGGCACAATTTGTGCGCCTCCTGCACGAAGGAACACCCGCGGATGCACTAGCCTGGACTCCCCTCGACGCTTTCATCGAAGCCCTAGAGCACCAGGTGCCGAGCGACCTTCTCGTAGAGTGTATGAGCGGTTGATGTCGGCCTTCGGCTGATATTCCTTTGCCATACGAGCCGCATGCATCCCGATACTGACTCATGAGAGGGGTGACGGTGTTCAATCTCAACCTACCATCGTGTGTGAGCACCGGTATCGACCGCGTCAGCATGCGTCCGGTGATGATCTGGGGCGCCTACTAGCCTACCCATATATCTGGCGATCCGTACACGGTTCGGCCAGCAGGTCGCACGACACGTTCGGAAGGGAGCCACCGTTTATGTACCAAAGCTTATGCATGGCAGACTCGCCGCAGCTATAACGTCTGACGTGCTGTACGGTGACTAGTATAGATTAGTGGTGCAGCGCGGCGCATGTGTTCGCTCTTGTTCATCCATGGATCCAAAGGCGTACTTTCAATTCTCCGCACAATATATACCGTGATCACGTCAAGACAAGATGATTTCGACTATTCCTACACACCAAATTCCAATCCGCATAGCACTATGCGGAACTCCCAACTTTGCGCAGCCTCGTCATTTCGAGCTTCTTCGCTTCCCGCTCTTCCTCCATTTGGAGTTCATCCTCGTATGCGTAGAACTTCGGAACCACTAGATCCATCATGCCGTCGATGGTAAAGCTGTATGGTTCAGAATACCTTAGAGGCCACTTCACCTTCTGAGCCTGATCCCAGTCCACCAGGCGCCACAGGTTTACTGGACTGGATATGTCGGTGGATGATGCGGGGGCGGGGGCGTTCAAAGATGCTCGTAGGATATTTGATGGCTTTATGTCTAGGTGAACAATGCGACATTGGTACACGTCGCGACACAGTTGCATGAGCTGCTCGCTGTGCAACGTTGTGTAAGTACATGGCGTACGGGTTGAAGGACGCCCTGACTGACCGCAGTACTGCTTCTGGTATGTTCCGCAGCGAATCCGGTCTGCTCGGATCGACAGTCTCGCTCAAGGGTTTTCCCAATCTCTCCAGGAGTAGGATGCTAAGACTGGCGCAGGGGTGAGGCATATTGTGGACGTCGAACGTCTCTTTAGACCTCGGGAAGGTGGTCTCAGGGTCCCAGGGCGTGATACTGAGCTCCTGCAAGTTGACTGGACGACGAAAATACCCGTAACACCAGGCCGTCGCCTTGCCCTGTACGGGCTTGAGCATGTCGTACACGTCAGCCTCCTCCGAAATCCGTCGACCTTCAGTTTGCTTTGCAATCTTGACCACGAGGGGGTGAGGTATGGTGAAAGTGTATCCGGAAGGAGGAGGGATGACCTCGACTGCGTATGTCCACCCGCAGCTCCCTTCCCCAAGGAGCTCACCCAACTTCAGCTTCAGCGCCGGCTTCTTCCCGTCGCTACTCGGGAATTCGCGGTTTTGGAGACGGTCACGGTGAGGATAATTGAGATCGTTCGAGAGCGGGTCCGGAAGCTCTCGAGGGATCTCCAGTGCGACGTATTCTCCGTTGTTCGCCTTCGCTAGGCCGCTTATCTCGATGGAACCCTATTGAGAATGGATGATAAGCCATGTCAGGGCTCGCGCCGATAGGATTTACAGTTGCGCTGAGACTGACCAGAGTGTCATCGGAGAGAATAGTATCAATGGGCCCGGGCAGAGTGTTGTGAGAGAGACTAGTATCTGTGTGCCCAGACATTGGTGTAGTGGGAAGATTGGGACGACAGGAAACGTTTCAACGTGACAGGGGTTTGCTGAGGAGAATCCGGTCAATCATCGTCCAGTTTATGAATGCCGCCAGTAGTAGAATATATAATGATCGATGTGCTCGGCGCCCTTCGGCCCCATGCTAGCATCGGCGGACACTCGGCGGACTTCAGCCACAGCGGAGTCCCAATATCGGTACATTCTGACTGGGTGTAACGTCTCGTCGCTACGCCCAGCATCGCGCGCGGGTGACCGAGACACTTATCTGCGTACGACCTGTAGGGGTGTTCATGCATTCATGCTCGAGCTCGCGCAGAACTTCAAGCTCTTCCAGTCTGGAGACCAGCCGCACAAGGTTCTACGTAGGGCTTGACATGACGATGATACGTCTCGCTGCTCTCCTGACTCGGGCATTGGCATGCTCGGCTCGCTTCGTTGGGCTGCACTTGGAGCCGAGATGGTAATGGAGGTGAGAGAGATAGCGGACTGTTCTATTAATTTATACGCTGACGTCGTGAAGTTTTGGGAGGGTGAGCAAAAGGCACGCTCTCGCGCATCTTGCACAAAGGGACGCCGGTGCAGTCATTTGCCTGGAATGCGCTGGACGCGTTCATCCAAGCTTTAAAAGACCAGGTGCCGGGTGATTTATTCGTAGAGTGCGCGAGTGGTTCACACGAGCGATCAGTTGGTATACACCTGACGTGACGACTCGCCAGAGGCTAGGTTGGATTGCATCAGATGTCATCTCAAAGTCACCTCCATCCACTATCGTTTGTGGTTTCCCAATTCCCGTGCCGTCAACCAAAGTCAATATATTCTACATTCATGCTCCTAGGCCTCGTCTTTGCCACACCCGGAGTCGTCGCTGCCGCCCATACCAGTGTCCGATCCATCCCCGTCTCCGTCATCGCGCAAGTCATTCTCTATCATCCATTTGACTTCCGTCTTGATCTCACTGAAGATGACTTGACGCTGGAGTGGCATCTCCATCTTGTGGCAGTCCTCCCAGTCCACCAGGCGCCACAGGTAGCCCGACTCGGATGCTGCAGTCGTCGCGCTTGGTTCAAGAACTCGCAGTATGTTCGCGGATTTGATATCCTTATGGTTGAACCCGAGTTCTCCCGCTGCTTTGTACATTTGAATCAACTGGTCCCTGTTAAAATTCAAGTCAGATCAGCATGAGTTGCGTGCTCGATGTGCCTTCGTCAGGGACTAACCGTAGCTCAGACAAATTATCGGGTAGTATGTGCCTCGGAGTCTTCCGAAGAGATGTACCCATCCTCTCCATAAGGAGCATGTTCAAGCTGGCGTCGGTGTGTGGCATATGGTAGATGTCGAATGACCTCGGGAATGTACAATTGGGATCCCAGGGTGCGAGACTCATCTCCTGCAAGTTGACGAAGCGACGGAAGTATCCGAAGCAGAGGGGTATGATCGTGCCTTGTAAGCTCGAAAGCTGGTCGTAGACGTCCGCCTCCTCGGAGAGACGCCGGCCTTTAATCCGTGCTGCTATTTTGACTGCGAGGGGAGGCATCGCTTGGGCGGGCCCTATTTCAGAGGGACTCGAGGAAGTGACCTCGACTTCGTATACCCGTCCGCTCCCTCCTCCACCGATCAGGCGCCCCAATGCCAGTTCCAGAGTTCGACCAGAACCCAACCACGCCGGCTTTGTTGAAGTACTACGTCTTGGAGCTGGCCAGACAGTTTTCCAATCGGGGCGACTTTGGTCATTTGTGAGCGGGTCCGGCAGCTCTCGAGGGATTGTTAGGACAATGGCATTTCCGTCGTTGTCTCTGGCAAGGCCAGTGATCTCAATTGCTGCAACTCGAAGCCGGTGAGTAGGCGAGTTCTAGAGAGGGGCAGATGATAACTAGTCAGAAAACCTGTCGCACGCCTACAGAGACTGCGGATGGAGTAGTTACAACAACGAACCAAACAGTTCTGAGCTTGATTGATCCAGGGCCCCGAAACCTGGGCCGTCGTCGCAGTGTAAGCTGTAGTAGGTGCCTGCGGGAGCAAATTCGTCGTTGTAGAGTCAGGCTGGTCCGGCGCCGTTACCATAGTGAACTGTTGAATACAGCTGGTTGAGGGGTAAATGACAAGGCCCAAGGATGGTGGCTAAACTAGTTTTTTTGGGCCTGCGCAAGGACTAATCCGGAGATGAGCGCCCTGAACCACATCGTTTTGTTTTAGGTAAGTAACATCACCGGTTCAACGTTCACTCGTTCACTATGTCGACGGCCGCCATCCATAACTGCGATACATATCCAAGTTATTAAGCTTACTAGTCCTGGCTTCCACGCGTTTCTGGTGAACGCTGTCCCCACTGATAGAACTTCACAAAACACAGACCAACGACGACCGCCTCCCCACCGATCTCAGTCGTCTGCATCATCTATGGTGTCTACATCGCATGAGTCTTCAGAATCAAGCTCCAACTCCCACTCGTCCTCGGAGTCCTGTTCTCCAGTTTCCATCTCGAGCTCTTCTATGAGTTCGTTTTCAATCAGATGTTCGGCACGCGATTCGAAATCGTGCACCCTTCCTTGACGGGTGTAGCCATACGATATATCGAAGTCCTCCCAGTCGATCAGACGCCACCGACTGAGATGTGGCGTATCTTGAGCAGTACCAGGGGACCTAGTAGCGTCGAAGGAGGCCTCAAGGATGTCGGAAGCTCCGATGCCGTGGTGTATGATCCCGAGGTCTGAAGCGGCCATCCACATTGTGACCAGCTCCGCTCTACAAATTCTATGAGTGTATACACATGACGCTGCGAGCCTCTCGCTTACTGTAGGCCAGGTGCGACGTCGCCAGCTCTGAACATAGACAGCGGGCGGCCGAGCTTCTCCAGCAGCAGAATATTCAGACTTGCGGAAGCGTTCGGCATATCGTAGATGTCAAGGTCCTCCGCGGACCTTGGCAGCTTGCATCGAGGATTCCAGGGGACGACGATCATCTCTTGCAAATTGACGAAGCCCCGGAAGTACCCATAGCAGCGGGGCAGGATGGCACCCTGCAGGCTCTGCAGCACCTCGTACGCACCGGCCTCCACGGAAAGCCGCCGGCCGCTCCTCTCCCGCGCGATCTTTGCAACGAGCGGGGGGATGTCGATGCGGGGGGAGATGACATGCACATCGTACACCCAAGTGTACCGCCCTGCGTGCATCCTCTTGCCAATCCGCAGCTCAAGACGGATTCCCGGCCCTTGCGAGGATGGCACTTCAGCCCGAACGGGCTCGGCCGTGCCAGTGCTAGGTTTGTATGCGCCCCAGTCGATGTCAGCGTCCTCTTCTGAGTCGACAATGAAATGGTGGGTTGCGGGGTCGTCAGGGTCGTAGTAGACTGGTCCCGGGGGAAAGGATGGCACTTCAGGGCGTGCTCGTGTAACCTCCAACGTGTGATCTGATGAACTCTGAACCTGGAAGGCTGTAAGCCGCACAAAGAGAGGTCTTCAGTCTGTGAGAGAACGACTATGATTGCATAGTACTGTACCTGTAAGCCGCACAAAGAGAGGCTTCAAGTACTAGTAAGTAAACATGTAAGGAAGCATAGGTAGTATGGGACTTACTCTTCAGTCTGTGAGAGAACGACTGAAGAGCAGAGGCCTGCAGAGTCCTCCTTATATACTACTGGGGAGGACGATGAGTAAGCGTATAGGAAGAGGGCATGTGACGTCCAGAGGACGCTGACTGAGCGATGAGTAACGCTGAGTAAGGGAGCATAATCGACATAAGGTCAGATAGTCCATGGCTGAGTAATGCGAGTAATCCGGACACTGTCTAGAATAGTCCGGAACATCGTAGAACGTACCAGAATCATATGGAGGGATGGCAGGATGCCAAGTAAGTACAGGACAAAAGAATGTACGTATATGGTAAGTAGGAAAGTCCATGCTGGCGTATGGTAGACGCACAGCCACTATCACTGCCACTCCCGGTCCGGCACAGCCGTAGACACAGAAGTTCAACATGATCTTTGCCATCATTCTCTTTGGCCAACCCCAAGACCGAGATAGAGGTTATCGAGTAGTCGCACTGCGGTGTAATTCAGAGTGTCAGTGACTTGCAGATCGACTTACATACTATCGTAGCCGTACGTCCAAAGGGAGCAGACCTCGCGGCTTAGGCGCACTTACCGGCATGGACGTCATGGACATCGCTATTTCGAATCGTTGTGAGGTCGTTTGACTTGACGTTGCAAACAGGAGGCGATGGCAAGTTCTGCGGGTGGTGTATTTTGGCACAAAAATGAGAGCCAGCGGGTAGTGCTGTCAGCATGCATATGGCGTTGTCCAGCTTCAGTCGCTGCAGCGGCGCAGCCTGCAGAGCTGCTGGCGGAGTTTAGATTCTTACGTCCTCAGGCTTACGTACACAAACAGTAGTCAAAGTTAGTGCTATACCATCGCTATCATGTACATATCGAGAAGTTACAACCCATCAGCACTACATCAGCACCAGTGATCACCCCGACCTTGCCTTCATCCGGAGTTTTCGCGCTCGCCGCTCTTCTTTCCTCTTCAGCCTATCTTCCGCGTCGTAGAGAGCCGGACAAACGTCGTCCAGCATGTCCTGGATGGCGTGGCTGTATATGCTGAAAGGGTCGGAACATTCCAAGGGCAGCCTCAGCTTCTCAACCTTCTCCCAGTCCACGAGGCGCCACGGGTTAGCCGGGTTGGATGTGTCGGAAGATGACGTGAGTGCAGGAGCGGTCAAAGATGCTCGTAGGATGTTTTCCGGCCTTATGTCTAGGTGAACCAAGTCGAACGGCGGGAACAAGCCCCGACACATTTCCAAAAGCTGCTCGCTGTGTAACCGTTGCGTAAGTAAATCTTGTAGGGGTAAAGGTACGTCAACACTCACCGCAGTACTTCCGGTGGTATGTTCCTCAGCGAATCCGATCTGCTCGGGTCGACGGTGTCCTGCAAGGATTTACCCAGCCTCTGCAAGAGCAGGACGCTAAGACTGGCGCAGGGGTTAGGCATATCGTGCACATCGAACGTCTCTTTCGACCTCGGGAAGGTGCATTCTGGGTCCCAGGGCAGGATGCTGAGCTCCTGCAAATTGACCGACCGGCGGAAGTACCCATAACAGATGCCCGTAGCCGTGCCCTGTGCGCCGCGTAGTTGGTCGTACGCCTCAGCCTCCTCCGAAATCCGGCGGCCTCCCGTCTGTTTTGCGACCTTGACCACGAGGGGTGGTGTGGAGAAACTACACCCAGGATGGGATGAGATGACCTCGACTGCGTATACCCACCCGGAGCTCCCTGCGCCGATGAGCTCCCCCATCTTCAACTTCAGCGTGATCTCCGAGCCTGACCACGGCAGTGTGTTCCTATCGCGTTTGCGGGGGTCGCCGATTGGGAGACCGTCACTATCCCAATAATTCTCGTCGATCGAGAGCGGGTCCGGCACCTCTCGAGGGATCCTCAGTGTGACGAATTGTCCATCGTTCGCCTTCGCTAGGCCGATAATTTCGATGTAACCCTGTAGAATCGATAGTCAGGTTCCTACAGATAGCTATATAATTGGCTGATGTTGGGGTTCAACTGACCAGACAGTCCTGAGAAAGACTAGTCGAGAGCTCCATGGATGCGGGCGTGCCCTCGTCGGCTTTTGCAAAACTGCGAGGCGTCAACTCGGGGAACGCCACTTCAGGCACAGGATCCTATAGATATTCGAGCTCTTCATGAGAGGAAATCCCAGCCATTCAGGATAATCCGTCAACTGACCTTATTCGGGGAGGAACCTGTTAAATCTTCCAGCGAGTTCGTCATCGTGGATGCCATTTCTTGACTCGAAGTCATCGCTGGGACCACAAACGTTGGTCAGACGCCGGCAGGATTGTATACGTCAGCACGAGACGAAGGCGACCGAGAAGGTGCAACGGCGAATTTGCATTCGCAGAGCAAGTAGTCGCAAGATCACGCAGGATGCGCTGCTGGAGGAGATATGATGAGAAGTTGTTAACGGTCTTGGCCGACCCCCAGACGTTTGAGCGCTACTTCTCAGACTCGTGTGGTTTTAGGTAAGGAATGTCGCGAAGGTCTATGGCTACTATCTTGCACCAGTCGTACACATTACACGGCCAATTCATCAGACGGGTGGCTGCCTTGAACGTTGATGTGTTGATAGCTCATAGCCACTCCGAGGGGAAACACCCGTCGTCTCAAAGTGCTCAGGCTTACTTTGAAATCTGTGTTCCGGGCGCGGAGGGAATCACCCGCTCCATCTATGTTGCACACACCAGGCAGAATCAGTTTGGAATATACAATTATATATCACGCTGATGATACCAAGACAGCACCAAGCTAGTCGTACCACCGCTCCCGCAGGCGTTTCCGCGCCACCATCGGTTTCACGATGAAGATCGCGAGCGCGAGGCCACCGATGGTGAACACGAGCTGCACCTTGTTGAAGTTCTCGCTGAGGACGTCGAACGTGTTCGACGGTGCGACGCGCGTGGAGAATAGGTCCAGGCCGTACGCGAAAACGAGCGATGTTGACTCGAGCAGCGCCGGGGACGTCACGACGCGGCGCGTCTTTGCCACCTGCGCACGCAGCAAGGTGAGAAGGTGTCCCGTGTATTGGGTGAGCAAAAGCCTACCTGGTAATTGTGCGAGAGGACGCGCTTCGGGTCGTCGGGGATGACGGGGTCGTACTGGATGAGCCATTCCTCCATCTCTTCCGTCGTTGGCTTCTGCTTCGGGCGTCGCGGGTCAAGGAAGCGGCGAGGGACTGATTGGATCTGCCCGTGCTCATGCGCAACTGCAGTCGCATGAGTCAACGCCGATTGAACAGCGGGAGAAACACTAACCGATGATGTCCTTCATGGTGATCCCATAGCTCGTCGAGGTAGCCGCCAGGGTCGTGATGCCGCGCGCGAACACATACGACTGCTCGTGTATGCTCACCGACGTGGTCTTATTCGAGAGTGACGTCAGGTCCGAGCTGGGGCAGACGGATGGTCAAACACGGCCGGAAGAGCGGAGCATCAGGGAACGCACCTCAACGTCTTATCATCGATCCCATGCCCCTCGTAGAGCTCGACGGAAACGACGCGATAGCCCTTCGCCTGGCCGGGGCCCACCTCGCTGTCGTAATAGTGGTACACCAGCCAGTTCTCGACAAGAGCCGCCTTTACGTCGCACGCGCCCTCCGCGGACGGCAGCACCGCGTGGTAGATGACGGTACCCTTTGCGCCGTCGACCAGGTACACCGCGCACGTCGCCGACTTGGATGCGGGAACAGATGCCGACGGGCCCGTCACCACGCCGATGAGGTTCGGGTTGAGATACTTGTACAGCGTCGTGCGGTTGCCGAGTACCTTCCCAAGCGACGCGACCGGGTCCGTGGGCCGCGCAAAGATGGTGCGGATGTCCTCGGTAGGCGGGAACGGCAGCGTCCACGTCGGGTACGCGATGTACCGCCCGGTGAACTCGACATTCGAAGGAATTTGATGACCGGTGAGCTGGCGCTGGCCAGGAGGGCCGGTTTTCAATGGGATGCGCAGGGCTGGGGCGGCTTTCTCGAGTGCGCGAAGGGTCTCGTCTGTTTCGGGGAACAAGTGTACTTGCAGGAACTCATCGAGCAGCACGACGACACGCGCTGATGCAGTTTTCAGGAGGAATGCCTCTACAAGCGGGCCAGAGACGACGTCTTTGCCTTGCAGAACGTCGTTGGCCGGAGATTTGCCTGTTGCGTCGTCGCCGGTCAGAGCATCTACGTGGAACAGCACAGTGTCCACGAGGCCCTAGACAATGGTCAGATAGTAGACGGCGAAGTAGACGGGGATAACCTACGTTGTTTGCTTTTCGCTGTGTCACAAGCACGACTTGGGGAATTTCGCCGTCATTGACCGTGCGCGTCACAAACAATTTTGCGGGAATGATTTGGCCGCCCACTTGCGCGGCCCAGCCAAGACCAAAGACACGACTCCAGAGGACCTCTCCGTTCGCCGAGTCTATGCCGTGAACCTTGCCATGGGACGTAGCGGCGACAATCACCTTTCTAAAGCCGAAGGTATCGCGAGACAGAGGCTCCGTCGCATTGGTGGACGGCGCAACGGAGGCGCTCGCGGAGGCATACGAGCCTGTCACGAATCGCCGCACGAAGTTGACGGCGTACTGCGGGAAATCCTGCAGCAGGGATTAGGTTCGTCCCTTCCTCCCAAAACCCAGGGTCCTGCGCACCTGTGCGTCGGAAAGTTGCCGGCGGAGACGCGCCCCAAAGTTCTCTTGCTCGACGCCGGCGTGCGAGGCGATCTTCCTTTCGGGCAGTTCGACGAGCTCGGCGACACGAATATCGGCGAGGCCCTCTTCGCGCGTCCATTGATGCTGGTCGTGCTGCCAGAGCTGAATAGCTCCCGTACTGGTAGTCAGGAATAGCCGTGAAAGCACCCTGTAAGGCTCGGGGTTCGCGGCGTCGACGGCGACCTAGGGCGAGCACTCAGGGAAGTTCATGAAGGGGCGGAGACGAGCAAACGTACATGGGTGATAATGCCGTGCTCCGCCGTCTTGAATGGGAATGTGAATCCCGTAACGAGGCCCTTGCCCTCAGCGAGGTGTGACGCGAAGATGTGCGCCGATGCTTGCTGAAGAACTGTCAACACAAATGCCGCCCACGGACGGGACAAGACGCACCCTGAACGCGTGTGACCAGAAGACCCGGGCGATGTATGGGTGGCCGTCGACGTCTAGACCGCCGGAGTAGATAGCATCGGAGCGCTGCGGCGACGTCGCCTAAAGAGAGAAAGTCAATATGGCAATCTGCCAGCCGGGGCAGTGTTGTACGTACAGAGTCTGCAAAGTCCCAGATTACCTTCAAGCCCTCGGAGCTGAGTCTAATCACCCGTCCAGAACCATCTTCTTGCACAGCAACGAACTGGCCATATGCGGAGACTCCAACGTCTCGCAGGGAGCGGTAGGTTGCTCCCTTGATGACGGCGGGCTTCGCCTTGAGGCTCGGTGTCAAAGTGTAATATTTGATAACCTTGCCCTCGAGCCACACGATGTGCGGTTCTACTTCCGATGTTCTGTGGTCGCGTACGACCACTACGTCGGTAAACCCTGTAGTGACGCTAGAAGGGACGTTCCCGCTGGCAATGAGTTCGCCGGTAGTCGGGGATAGGGTGCTGATGTGCAACGTGTACGACGCAAAGGAGTTGGCGAGCCCGAGGAGATAGATGGCCGACGGCGTTACAAGAATCTTTGAATACACCACGAGAGATCTGAATACCAGAAAATTAGGACTCGTCAATCAGGTGGTCTCGGGCTCGTCTTGCACCAAAGCAGAAGCAGAGCCTGCCCCAAGCTGCTCACGTTTGATCTGGCGCGCTCCAGCCCCACTTCACAGCTCCAGTGCGCCGGTCGATGCTCCGGAGAACGTGTCCGTCCGTGAGCACGAATACATCCCCAGCTTGCACCCCAGAGCCGAAGGAAATAGCAGTGCCCAGAGTTTCTGGTTCAAACAGTCGTCCCGCCTCAGGGCTATGAAGTCGGGTTTCCAGTAGGAGGTCGCCGTCTATTGCGTCGAATAGGCGGAGGTTGGCACCTCCGACGCCGGACAAGGCGGCGACCACTGTGGACGCTCGTCATTGCAGATCAACTCAGGGCATACATGAGCACATACCGTCATTGTCCTTGTGGTACGCGATAATGCGGTCGTCGTCGTCGAACACATACCGCCAGTCTATGCTTGACCGCATTCATTCCCCTGCCGTTATGACATACGGCTGTCTTGCTCACCTATTGAGCCGTTCGCTGGGTTCACAGAAGCAAGCACGTTGCTCTGTGTTGCGGTCAGAACAGTACTGCGCGTCGCCCCAGTGTCGTACTCTCTCCGGTGGAATGTGGGGGCAGTGGCAGCGGACTGGATGAGCGGAACACCGAGCTGAGGTTTATGCCAGTCGAGCACGCCGGCCTCCGAAGCGTGCAGCGCGTATGCACACGCCGCACCGAGTAGAACAGAGAAAAGCCTCATGGAGGCTTTCTGAAGCCGAGCCAGAGCAGTTGGCGGAGAGGATGAGAGAAGAGCTGCGAGAGTGGAGTGTGCGCGCCGCATGCGACGCGTCCACCGACGCGGTGGCAGCGCTAATTAGGCGCTCGTGGACCAGCGCCCATAACTATACTGACCATTCTCTTGCGACCACCTCATCAGTACTCGATGTCAGTCACCCACAGGCAAGTGTAAGAGAGTATCTGGTTTGGACTCCATCGAGATGACGAGGGCGATCTAATTCGTTTAGACATGCAGAACGATACTTCGACGAGACCTTGCAGACACCCAGGAAGGCACGGACCTGAATCCTATCGACGGTTTCGTCGCCCTTACGCTGGAATATTCCCAGCAGCCGTATGATTGTGTCAACGAGGTGAATCCTAAGACCGCTTTCCCAGGCCAATCAAAAAGTTTACAGTGTGCGAGTATACAACCACCGGCGTAACATTGGCAAAGACGCACAGCATACAACCCGTTTACTAGAGGGCCACATGGTGACGAGGACCACAACTTAGCTTAGAATGGGTGAGGGTCTATGCTGCTTCTTCAGTGGAATACACTCCGCAAAATATGACAGCCTTATGTCGAATGAAAGCACCTCAGGGCAATCGCACGCGGCAAGTGTGGCAAGTCAAAGTAGGCTGAATAGTCCTATTAGCAACATGGCGTTGCACGATGCAGACTCTATTCTAACTGCAGACACGGACGTCAATGGCAGGTCGATGGGTGAGAGAAAGAGACATACCTGGATGAACTAGACTAGAGGTCTCTTCTACTTGAGCTTGGAGAAGAGTTTTGGCGCAGTGCAACCCTGTGCAAGCCTCAGTACGAGCCAACGTCAATAGGAAGACGCAACATACGTTGACGCAGTGCATGAGGCTACATAGGGATGCATTAGCAACGTGTTTCGACTTCACGCCGGGACGGGTACTCACTGGTCTGGTGGGACAGAAGGGACGAGCGCGGCGCGACGTCAGCAGGCGGTATAACGCATTCACAAGACTACTTACAGCTAGAAAGCAGAGTTAGCACTAACAACATCTCCGAACGCAGACGTGTACTCACAATTCCTCAACGCAGTCCTCGCCCTTGTAGCCCTCGCCAGCGTTGACCTTCTCCTCGCAGTGCTGGAAGTGGTGCAGCGCGGGCGCGCACTTCGCCGACTGCTCGCACTCCTCCACAATGGCGGGCAGGGGCTATCCACCACACGCACGTAAGCAGCTGCCAGCGCAAACAAATGCGTGCGTCTATACGCACGTCCTCGGGCTCCTCCTCTTCCTCCTCTTCCTGGGCGGGCTCCTCCTCGGCCTCCTCCTCCTGGGAAGGCTCCTCCTTCGCCTCCTTCTCCTCAGGGGCGTCCGCGTGGACGGTGAAGAACGACGAGAACATCGACGAGAGACTCATTACCGAGCGCGAGCAGGAGGACAACGTTGACGGTGTTCAAGCGCGGATGCGACGGCCGCGAACGGAAGACGGACGGCGCCTATTCGCTGACAATCGGCCGTTTCCGATTGGTCTTGCCCGGTTCGTCTCCTGCTCCGAAGCTGAACCGCTCTCTGATGTGAACCGAACCACCTGTCGGTGCTGCTCCTCGAAGTCCGGAGGAGCTTTTATTGACTCTACCAAACGTTTCCGGCGACTTCGCCTCATGGAAATCGCAACTTATTGTGATGTCCCGTTGTACTCCGACTGAGTCGTGAAGGGACGCACAAAATCCAAATAGCTGCTTCGAAACACAGAACAAACCTCGGCGTGCGCTCTGAATACTGTTGGCACACAGCGAGCTACGAGACAGATAGGAAACCGACAAGGTGAAAAATCTAGCGTTCTAGCGGCGGGAAATGACAGGGGCTACACATCCGTAGAAAGGCGATGCGATGCGCACTAAACCTAACCATCCTCGACGAAATAGGGAGACTCGGTTTGCATCTGGAAACATACAATCATGTTAGTCACGACTGACATCAGGGCCTCTATGCATTTCAGCGAAGAGCGATACTTACCCAGGGCTCGTCACGTCCAGAGACGTACTTCTGCGGTGGGCGCTCCCAGCACGCAACCTTGTCGACCTCCTCCTGGGTGTGCAGCGGGATGACGACTCCGAGTTCGTAGTTGTTGATCTACGAGTTTTTTTCCGTGATAAACGCGCAAGAGCTGATAAGTAAGATAGGACGTACGTTCAGCGAGGGATTGAACCCGCTCCCCGAGAGCGTGCCCCACGCGGAGGGCGTGAAGTTGTGCGAGCCAACGTACACCCAGCCCGCAAGCTTCGCGGAGCCCGCATCCTCGTCGGTATCTACCTCAGAGCTGCGAGTTGCCGATGCGCGTTGGTGGCCATCCAGAGTGCCCGTCTTCTCTTTGAACGTCCCAAGGATCATCTGCAGACACGCATCGATCCATCAACGCGGGTGGAAAGAATGAATGCTTCGTAGCTACCTTCGAATGCATGAGCACGCGCCCACGCTTGCTCCTCGTCTGGTGAAACAGCTGCCGCGGGAAGTTCGCCCCCTCCCACTGCTTCCGCCTGCAGAACATCGTACCGCCACCCTACGCTCTTCGCTTCAGCTCCTGCGAAGATAAACGCACAATACGCGCAAGACGCACCGACTCTCCCAGCACGCTCTCGCGCACATACTGCGCAGTCGGGAACAGTATCTTGACCGCAGGGTAGGGCACCTTCGCGCGGCGAGTCTTGGGCGTTTCGAGCCAGCTCTGCGTCGATTCGCCGCGGGCAGAGAGGAAGAATTCGTTCACCCACATCGAGCTATAGTTGCCAATGGATGACCCCTGGACAGACGTCAGCGCGACCGGTACACGATGAGGTTAGAAATACGGTGCCGCACCTGACATTCGAGCGCGAGTTCTTTGTCCTTGGGGACGGTGGCTTCCATGTCTAGCAAGGCCTTCATAAGTCGTGTATGGCCGGTGAGAATGACCTGATTTGAAGGCCCTGGATCAGTCGGACTTGCGTATTAGAGGTGTATATATATCGCACCTTTGGCCAGCCCTCGTGTTTGCCGGCGACCGAGGGAACGAGTGCAGCTTTCACTCGAGAAAAGTCCCAATGAGAGCGAAGGTCTTCCAATCGTTGCAACGGGAGGTTCGGATGCTACACCAGACAATTCGTCGTTAGCCCTATGAGAAAAGAAATAGTTCACTCACGTCGTTTCTCAACATGTTGATCAGGGCTGGCGCAACATTCAGAGCATGGAGTACGCGGACCATGGCTGAGGCGAAATCCTCCGTGTCTGCAGGTTGGGTGACGGGTGATGGCCGCTTCGGGATATCTTGCACCCACACGGACTAGAAGCATTCAGTATGTGGAGTATATTGGTGAGTGACATCCTGCTCACGTTCTCGATATCGCGCCAATCGTACTCGACTAGATTGGCTGTGGAGACGACCACACGCAAACGGCCGTCTCTGTATAAAAGCTTGCAGGAGGTCAGGAGACAGCTTCAAAGAGAAAACCTAGTCATACCAGCATGAACTATTCACCAATGAGCACACGGGATGTCAAGATCAAGAGCAGAACGTACCTTCATGTGCATACACCCGAATCCATTGCGAAGGAAGGGCGTAGTTCTGATCCAGTTAGGCAATATCGCCTTGATAGTTGCGTTGCCTGAGGTTTGGTTTAGCTATCAATTTTGGCAAATGAAGGCGACCAAATTACCTCGAGGATCGTGATCTACAGCGATTACTGGCGTGTTGGGGGAGAAAAGTTGGTACATCCACTGGTAAGACCAACAGAAAGCAGAAACGATCGCAAACTCGATATCCTCCTTCTACACACCTGAATTAGCAATGGACGTGGGCTAAATTATCAGTGGTACTGACCGGCGCAAGAATCTCTGACAGTCTGAATACCGGTCGCCTGTCTTTCTGAGGATCAACATGCTGGTTGGCCGTCTGACGCAGTTCGCCATCGAAGTACAGGTTGCGAGAAGCAGCACCGGAGCTCGATGCAGCGCCTTGCCCGACACTTCTAGAGGCGGTGGCAGGTGCAGGGGTGCTAAAGGGAACAGAAGCAGACACGTTGGCACGACGTGCACCGACACGAGAGGAGGAAGAAACGCGCTGCCTTTTCGCATCGCGAGGCCGCTGGCCCCCATCCATTTCATCATCAGAGCCATCTGCGGCCCGGCCGACGCCTGGATCGATGTCGGGACGGAGTCGTTTCTGTCGCGCAACGCGCTCTTGCTCCAATTTTGCCCGCTCTGAAAGGAAAGACGGAGTTGACGAGGATGGGGTGGGAGGGTTGCCTGAGGGCATGGTGTGCTGTGGTATCATCGCCGAAGTTGCGCGCGTCTCTTGCTTGGACGCTTCAATGGCGCGCTGTAACTCTGCTTCGAAGCGAGCGTCCTCGTCGTCCTCATCGTCGGCGGATAGGTCGATGACCTCGTGATGCACTTCAGCAGCACGACCATTGCTTTCCTGGAGGCTGAGAGCAATAGCCCTGCGTATTGTAAGCGTGACAAATCAGTTGTGTTAACTTCTGCCACTAGTGACCATGCCACAGACCTCGCAATGTCGTCGTCCATTATTGTCCTTGGAAGCGGCTTCGGCTGTAGAGTCAGTGAATCTGTTTCAGGGAGGACTCGCAGGCATCGACGGACGGCCGCCCGCACCTTTGTGTGGAGGCCAAGTGGTGGTCGAGAACAAGCTGCGTTGCGGGGGCGCTGCTGCCGCCACCCGATACGCGACGCGTCAGTCACGTGCTCTGTCTCCAGTTTGGCGCTTTTGCCCGGAAACAGCCTGAAACGGCGCGCTAATGTTTTGACGCAAGCCTCTCATCCCAACCTGGAGATTGCCTGAAAACGATCTCAACTCCTCCCAGTGCCCACTACTACCACGCTATCGACATGTCTCCCCCAATATTACCGGTGGAGGTCTTCGAAACTATCATTGACTTCTGTCGCCGTGAGCCTGGTCTCTGGGAAAGCCCCCAGTGGATATGGCAGTCTTATGCTCGGCTCACAGCGTGCTCCCTCACTTGCAAAGACTGGCTACCACGCAGCCGACGAAACCTTTACACCATCATCATACTGACAGATCGTCCGCGCTTTGACACGTTTGCTAGCAGCATCTTTCGGAACCCTTTTCTGGGCAATCTCGTCCGCGAAGTTCGAGTACAATCTCATGACACGTATATTCCCTTTGCAATGTCCGAGCTTCTCCAAAAACTGCCTCACGTTCGCTCTCTTGTTTTTGACGCAGATATATCGCTTTACCCCCCTAGCTACATGGTCCTTGTATCCCAATACCCGATAACCAGCCTCTCCATCTGGGACTTGTCGATCTTTCCCTCCTGGGCGACTCTCTTCAATTTCATCTGGTCATTCCCAGAGCTCTCGAAGCTCCGGCTTGGCAGCCACCTGGATGGTCTGCCAGGTAAAAAGGACGTCGCCGACGAGCTGACACTTGCGAAGGGAGCTAGACTCAGCGCGATCGCTAGTCGAGGGCGCTGCAGTCGGCTGAGAACTCTCGAGTTGTATGTGCGTCTGTCGGGCGGGCTCAACTTATGCCATCATCTATGTGAGATGCCTGACCGTATTATTCCAGGACATCTGGTACCTATGCTCTAACTTCCCGCCCAAAGGCGTATTCGGAGACGCTTTAGAGACGCTAATGGTCAAGGTCGGCGAGCGAGCTTGTAGAGCAGCCCAGTCTGCGATACAGCCAGGATTTCGTGAGCCACAACGCACGTCTCGCTTTGACCCTGCTGATATGTCTGCGTGGTAGCCCTGCTGAAAGACTTTGCCGCTCTACGCTCGCTAACGACGTTAGAGATACACCTTACCAGATATGCGCTTGCACCTGCGCATGAGACCTGGCGCCACCGGCGCATGGCCACGGAACTCCAACTCCTCGTCCAGAACATGTATGCCAATAAATGTGCCCTTAAAAAGCTCCGCTTTCGCTTCGCTGCACCTGAGTCGATCAACGATTTGACGCTGCCCTTCAACGCCAAACTTCTCCTGGACACATATTTCCGGCACCTGTTCTTCGGGGTTATCCGAAGCATTCCAGCGTGGCGCTTTTTGCGCCAAATCGAGGTTGTGCTGCCCTCGAACGATCTCCCCGCCCCTTGTCTTGAGGCGGATTGGTGGACGGACTACCTCCGCGCCGACGACCGGCTGCCATTTGACGGAGATATCGGGATCTCGCTCTCGTTTTATCGGGCCTACTGTGAGTCGCTCCGTTCTGGAGGGAGGCATGCGGAGGCTTATACCCTGCTCTTTTCGCATACAGCATATCTGGACCCGGACAAGACGCTGCCTCCCGCATGGTACTGCATCCGCCACCGCGCGGCAGTCGTGCCGACCATCTGCACCGAAGAATGCTTCAAGAAAGGGCCACTCCCGTACGATATCGCAGAAGGGTTTGAAGAGCTGGGCGTATAGCCAGGGGGTCCTCAATATCTGGTCGTCTTGCATACGTCCAGCGGTATCCCCGTACCCCGCAGGTATGCGTCCATGTCCTGGATCCTACTACTATCTAGTTGCGGACGCTCATACGGTATCTAACGAGAAACAGGCTTCTTCCAGCGTGGTCTTTTGGAATCTCCACCTTGTATTCCACCGAAGGGTCCGAGCTACTACCTCAACAACTCTGATCGCCGTCTACTACCTCCCTCCCAGACGTCCCAAGATTGAAATGTACATCGAGAAACCCCCTCCCCGTCACACCGACAAGCTTGCAAGGCCCAGCCAACCGCCGCTCACACGCCGACAGTGACCGTGGTCGTCACCGGGCCCGTGGTGAAGAACGTCGCCGTCGAGAACTCCGTGAGCGTCGTCGTCGCCGTCTCCGCGGTAACCTCCGTCAGGAGGTGCGTGAACGTCGTCGTCGCCCGCACGGTCGCGATGCTCGGGTGCCCGTCGACGGTGAGCGTCGTGACGCGCGTCACCGGCGCGATCTGAGTCTCGGTGAGCACGGTCGTGTGCGGACGCGTTGTGATGACGGGCTCGAGCTCGGTGAGGATGGTGGTGACTGCGTGCGCCTCGGTGGTCGTGATGGGCTTCACGATGGCGGGGACGGCAGCGACTGGAGGCGAGGGTGCGGTTAGCGGTGTAGCGGTGTGGGACAGGTGACGGGGCGACGTACTCTGGCCGACGGCGAAGGCTGCGAGAACGAAGCTGAGCGTGTACATCATATTTGCCAGAGGCGGGAGTGGCTGAAAGAGATGGAAGAAGGTTGTTGGGAGGAGTGGCAGCGGGATCGATGTGCTGCTCCTAAAATGTCTCGTACGCAGCTTTATACGTCTCACTGTTTGACCCAATACTCCCTGCTTGCTTAGCCGTCGTAGCCTCGATTCCAACAAGGCGGTGTAGAATTCAATTGTGGTAGTAGGTGCGACCCCTCGATGTTGCTTGATCGGCGTGGTGCGGCTTTGTATGAAGCGTGCATGTAATACGCCAAACCATATGTATCATCCTGCAGCATGACGATAACGTAGTGCAGAAAGGGTAGGTCAGTTACGCGAGCACGTACAGCCATATTTACCGAGGCCGAGTAGAACGGCAGTCTACGCAGTCAGCCGTACAAGACCGGATACACTGAGCGCCCCCTTGCCTACAGAATGAAGGCGCGATGTGGTCTTTATGCGCCGGGTGTGAGCCTTCACGATAAAGCCGCATATACCCGCAGTGCGATGCGCCACAAGCATACACAGTTTGCGATGTCTCTGGGTCGATGATCGAGCGTCCGTAGCATGGACCCCTGCGTGTTAACTTGCGGAAGATGCATCCTATGTAACAATCAAGTTGGCGGTCAGGCATCAGAAGATGGGTAAAATTAAGCCCGGGATAATTGCTCGCCCAGACTGGACTCGTGCGTGAGGGCGATTATGTCCCCATATCCCGCGATCCGTTACGAAGCCGCGCGAGCATTATGCCACTACGAAGCATGCGAACGCTGACCTGAGCGGGGTCACGGGCCCGCACGGCTAGTGGGAGATGCTACGCAGCAGATTGCGTGAGTGCCATGATGTGCTGTTGAACATCATCATGCGGTCGAAGGAATCAGAACCTAAGGTGGTCCGCCGCGGCGCATAGAACATGGTCGGGCGAGACGTGGCCGCCTCTAAGTCCCCCGCGGCGCGAGCTGCGAACTGTTATTCTTTGCCCATGGCTAAAAGTCAAAGTCAATCACATTTATGACGGTACAGTAGAGTATCTGAAACATACCGTGTCTGGCTGAGGGCGGGCAAACATGAAGTGTCCGGGACGAAGCGACGGCCGTTGCTTTGGAAGCGCCCGAAAAGGGCCGCACCTCCTCTGGGGCGGCGCTTACTGAACGCTCCTCGAGCTCTCACCATCAATTCACCACCTCACTCGAGCTAGTCGCAGTACCTGAGTCGCACCCATCGACGGAAAGTTATACTCTGCTTTACGCTTTCGAGAAAGAACACAACGACAGACGCAAAAATTACTATGATACGGGGTCAATTCTCCGTGAGCGCTTCTTGCTCAGACCTCTCGCCGCCGCCCTGTCTTTCAACTTGGATGACCCGCCAACAATTTCCCCAATTCTACTTCACCATCCGACAATTGAGGTACAGAAAACTCTGGCTATGCGATATCGGTATAGCTGCTAGGATGAACTGAGCTCATCGGACCGCACGGCGGGTACGAATGGTCTGCCATTGTTGGTCGCCGGGGCAGAAGCTTGGGCCTGTCTAAGCAGCACTTCTATATATGCCGTCTGCAGGTCTATTGGACTGCGTATTTACTAGTACTTGAAAATTAGGTAGAGCCAGGATCGCTTTTATACCGGCAGCGACAACTTATTTATTCGATTCATACTCTACTATATATTGACCTTGCAGTTACAGGAGTCAGCTTTGGGAACACGTACCTCATCGTGCATGTCTGATTACTCTGCGAGCGGGATCATCCACTGCAGTGGTATCCTCATCTCGCTCTTCCATCGACCGTTTCGTTTTGGTACGTCCGCTTTGTGGCCGCTCTAGCCACCGTACCCCGCGCCCCTATATCGGCTAATGCTTCATGACAGTGGAGGACCAAGCGGATTGGATGGCGGATTTTTATACCATACCCGCCGCCCCATTGTCCCAAAAAAAGCCTTATATTGCCAGAGGCCGTACGTCTCAGCCGTAATCTCGACACACCTCTGCCCATAACTACGCGTCCATCATGTCACTCGGCCTCAGCACCTCGCACTCGCAGACACTGCAAACTGGATTCTCAATTCTCACAAAGTACACTGATGTTCGTCTTCCGGCTCTTTATATCAGGCGCTCCTCGCTGATCGACCGCATCGTCCTCAGATGAGCCAGATAGGTTCGCCCTCTGCGTCTGGGCGGCAGTGCGGAGAGCACGCGTACTGACCGCTCACTCGGCTGCACAGGTAGCGGGTCATACTCAAAGGTATTCAAAGTACGGCCTGATTCACCGGTCTGCGCCAGAGCCACACTGACGCTGCTCCTCAGGCAAAGTGCCGCACGACAAAGATGTCCGTGGCTATCAAGATCATAGACACCGACCTTGAGGAGGGGCTGTCCGCGGTCGTCATGCGCGAGATCTCGCTGCTAAAGGAGCTGCGCCACAAGAACATCATCGCGCTCATAGAGTGCGAGGGGATAGAGACCCGCACCGCACTCGTTCTCGAGCACTGCCCGGGGGACCTCGAGACGTACATGACGCAGCGCCGGTTGACTGGCCGCCCAGTACATGGTGACCCCGACCTCATCCGGACCCTCATGTGGCAGCTCCTGCAGGGTCTGGCGTACTGCCACGCGAAGAAGGTGCTGCACCGCGACCTCAAGCCGCAGAATCTCCTCGTCGACAAACACGGCGTGCTAAAGATCGCGGACTTCGGGCTGGCGCGGCAGGTCGGGTTCCACCCAGAGTCAGAGAACCTGACGGGTGATGTGAGTGGTCCGCCGCTGTATACCTCGATGGTATGCTACTTACTCGCTCTCCCGCGCAGGTCGTCACGCTATGGTATCGCGCCCCGGAGCTTCTCCAGCCGCCAACCCCAACGCCGACGCCAACGCCGCGCCGGTACGGCTGCGCGATCGACGTCTGGTCGTGCGGGTGCATCCTCGCCGAGATGGTCTTGGACCACGCGCTCTTCGGTGGGGTCCCGGACGAAAGCACTCTGCTGCGTTATATCAAATCCATTCCGATGTGCGGCATCCAAACATTCCTCGTTACGTACCACCCTCACCAAGGCCAGTGGCCTCCACACGGTACGCACTCTTGCGTGACTCGCATCGTCGTGGTGTCCGTACGTAGCTGACCACAGACCGTGACCTTTTGCACCTCCAGCCATCAGCCTTTTGCACTGTATGCTGCAGTACGACGCCAAGTCGCGCATCACCGTCATGCAGGCACTCGAACACCCGTATTTTCGCGGTCGCTGGCAAGATGTGGGCGACGCGATCTCAACGAAAAACCTGGCCCCGCTAGACACGTTGAATCTGCGTCCGGCTCATCAAGGCCAGATGGCGGGCGTGCAGCAACTACCACAGGCGGTTCCCCGTATACCTAACAGGCCGCTGGACGGTCGCATGCAACCTGGGTCTGTCCGTGCGATAGGACAGGGCCAGACAGGGAAGCCGTACAAGGTTGGGGCCGGGGCGCCCTCCTTCCGAACGTGAGTTCACGAGCTGAGAAAAAACTCAAACGCTATGGCCTTTGGCAGACCGGTTCGGTTTTTGGTTTTATTCTCTGCTCTCAATTCGCAATCATTTTGGTGAAGATCCAGTTCAGTGTAAGTATCCGTGGATAGCATCATGCATCGCCATACCAATTTCTCTGGGAGCGCAAGTTGGCGTCCACCCAGACTTGATACATACTAAATCTTTGGTTGCCCTCAAGCATTAATGGGGTAGTGGTAACCTGGGTCGTTGCCATCGACCCGCCGGGGGTTCGATTCCCCCTTAATGCACACGCAAGACTGAAATGAATAGTTTTCTTCCCGTCGCATCCCAGGATCTCACGGCCGTTCTCGAGAGTAAGACCCACCACCATCGTCTCCAGCTTTCCTCTGTTTTCCTCCGAGCTTTCACGCAATATGCCAACACTCGCCCCTTCGACCACTCCCACCCCGAACTTCGCTGCTGCAACGCAACAAATTCCCTGAGCGTAGCCTGCGCGCTACCCCGGCGCAGTATCTCTCGGACCTTTTGCTATTCTTTCTTCTACGCTCTCATGAAACAAAACAAGAATAGACGTACAAAATGCTACAATCTCGGATCGCAGAGTGTTTCTTCCTGCTCATCGCCGATGCTTAGTCCGACTAAGAATCGCTGTCAAATATCTCCAACTACAATCAATGTCGCAGACTCGGACCTACATTCGGTAATCCAAGTATCGAAATTTTGGGGTCCGTAATATTGACAAACTCGTTAGTAGTATGGATCGTCACTGAGCCCATCGGTTTCGATTGGCCTACTATCATTGACCTCCAGCCTGCGAGCGGACGCTTGGCCTTGTCCAAGCAACATGTTGGCAAATTCTCCGCGACAGTGCGCGGACCAAGCGGCTTGAGTATATAGTGGACAACCTTCGTCATGCACGCATTGTCCGTACAAAGGCTTATATGCCCAGAGGCCGTACATCTCAAGCATAACCTCAACACACATCTCCCCCATTGGTAGCCACGGACTCAACATGTCTCACAGTCTCCGCGACTCGTCACAAGCAGCAAACCATGACTTCTCGATGTTCAAAAAGTATACTAATGTACGTTTTCCGGTTGTATCAATTTTTGCGTTTCCCCTGATCAACGGTGATGTTACTAGATGATCCAAATAGGTACGCCGTCTGCGAGTACTATACGGTGCGAAGAGCACCTGTACTACTTGGACTAATCGCTCACTTGGCTGCACAGGTCGTGGCGCGTCTTCGACAGTATACGCAGTACGCTCCGAACTATCTGCTCACCCTGAATCTAGGCTGACACGGCAGCATCGCAGGCACAGTGCGGCACGACGAAGAGGCCTGTGGCTATCAAAGTAACGAACGCTCGCCTCTCCGAAGGACTAAACAGGGGCGTCATACGCGAGATCACCCTGCTGAAGGAGCTCAGCCATCCGAACATCATCGAGCTCATAGAGTGCGAGACGATCGAGACCGGCACCGCGCTCGTCCTCGAGCATTGCCCATGCGACCTCGCGGGGTACATCGCGCAGCGCCGGTCGGCGGGGCGGCCGCTGGACGGCGACCAGATCCAGATGCGGACATTCATGTCGCAGCTCCTGGTGGGTGTGGCGCATTGCCACGCGAAGAACGTGCTCCACCGCGATCTCAAACCGCAGAACCTCCTCATAGACGGCCAGGGGGTCTTGAAGATCGCGGATTTCGGGCTGGCTAGGCAGGTCGGATTCCTGCCGGAATCAGAGAACTTGAAGAATCTCGTGAGTAGCCCGACGCAGCATACTCTGAGGGCGTGTTACTTATCTGCATACGTAGGTCGTCACGCTGCGATATCGAGCCCCGGAGCTTATCAAGACAACCAAAGCAACGTCTTCATACGGCGCGGCGATCGACATCTGGTCGTGCGGGTGCATCTTCGCAGAGATGATAGTCGGCCGCCAGATCTTCTGCTGGGCCGAAGACGAACAGACTCTGCTGCAGTATAGCCGGTTCATCCCGGCGTACGGCATCCAGGCCTTTCTCAGCACGTATCACGCGAACTTGGGCCAGTTTCCATCACACGGTACGCACTCCCATACCACTCGGGCTGTCGTGACGCCAGCCCGTAGCTGACCACCGTCGTTTCGCACCTCTAGCACTCGATCTCCTGCACCGGATGTTGCAGTACGACCCGAAGACGCGCATCACCGCCGCGGATGCCCTCGATCACCTCTATTTCCCGGCCCGCTGGCATTCTGCGCGCGATGCGACGCCGCCAACGAGGGACCTTGCTCCGCTCGACGCATTCCACAATCCTCAAGGTCAGACGACGCCGGGCCTGCAGCAACTGCAGCAGCCTGAGGTTGTCCACATGCCCAGGAGGCCGCCAGGCGTGCACGCAGAACTTGGTTCTTTCCGCGCGACGGGACAAGGGCCATCGACGGGGCCACCGCAGATGTTGGGGGTGAAATACGCCACCGGCAGTGGTGCCCTCCTTCCGAATGCGAGTACGCCGCCGTGAGGCCTCGAGTTAGTATGAATGTTCCTGGGTAGATAGTACCTTTTTGTCGCCGTACAGTCAAGGACCGCCCTCGCAAGCTCCCTAAGTCTCGATACTAGTGCCAATCGTATATTGTCAGCAGTTGCAAAGTCCTCTTACACCTGAATAGACGTAATCTAAAGAGTCGCAAACAAGTATCGTGCTGGTCGCCGCCGTAGTGACTGACTACATCCAGGTAAAATCTCTCCGAGGCGCTGGTATACATGGTTAGGTGGCGTTCTATAGCGATAGGAGAGTGTTAGTTACGGTTGATTGTACGGGAAAAATTCCGAGGACCTACCAGCTTACACACATCACCAGTAGAAGTCGCTCTGGACATTCCAGTGGGTTCCAAACTTGTCACCCTCGGGGAGATACTCGAGCAGCGCCGCGCGCAGCATCTCCCGCACCCCGGGGATTCTCCGGAACGTGGACGCCGCGCGCTCGAGCACGAAGCTGTCCCAGAAGTACGGGTACCAGCCCGCCTCCGCCCAGTCAACGACGCCAGAGATGCGCCCGTTGTGCACCATAATGTTCCAGGGCGTGAGGTCTCCGTGCGAGAAGTTCGGCGCGCGGCCGAGGTCGAAGAAGGCGAGGAACTCGTCGCGCGTCCAGTCGCAGCCCGGGATTGACCGACTCGAGATCCCGATGAAGTAGGCGAGTAAGGAACGCGTTGTGTGTGCGTCCGCGTCGCCCATAGGAAAGTCGGTTTGGAAGCCCTTAAACCAGAATGTGCGCGCCCAGGAGCCGCCGCCGAACGGTCCGAGCTGCGTTCGGCCGTCCGTCAGGCCACAAAGCTGAGCGAAGACGTCCTGCAGTTGGCGCGAGATAACGACGCGCTCAGACGAAGAGAGAGACTCGAACGCGTGCTCGAGCCGTGTGCCGGGTACCTGTTCCTGGACGATGTAGGTTATAGTGCCGTTCCTGACGGCCTCGGTGAAGACGCCATAGATGCGTGGTATAGGTATGGAGGTGCGCGACGCCACATAGGTCATGGCTTCGGCCTCGCGCAGATACACCTCTAGGCCGAACTTGACCACAATAGGTACGCCGTCGTAAACAGTCGACCTGACCTCACGAGGAGTCCCTCTGGGATTCAGCTCGTACGGTCCAGAGTGGGACTGCACAGAACCCATATTCATGCCGAGAGGGTCGGGATTGAGGTTCGTCGAGTCGCGCAGGAGAGCCTTGACCTGTTCGAGAGTGAGCGTGGAAGCCATGGGCGGATGAAGGCTGGTAGGGGATGTTGCAAATCGGCGAAGGAGTCGAGCGTAGGGTCTCTTGGATATTTGGGGGCAGCTGGTAGCGATTCGAAGACCGTGTTTGGGTTTTTGTGTAGTCAATTAAGCGCTGAATAAGCGCTACGTATGCTTCAATGCACGCACGCCGACGCCGTGGCGCCTTCTCTCACAGTCTGTGCCACCATGATAGCTTTGTCCACTTTTGGCCCACCTATTCGGAGTCGCCGCTGAACGGCTCAAGCTTACTATCTCTCGGGAAAGAAACCCATTCCGGGTGCCGAGTCCGACAATCCATTAACTGCCATTACAGGCAGGAATCGCACCATTGCTCGCATCCGCAGATGGCGGTAGTACATCATCGACTAAATCAGATCACTACGTGCATGTACGACTGGTCTTTGGCTCTATGGGACAGACGTAGAGATACGGTCGCCCCAGACGGTGCACCTTCTACGAGGCGAGTACTAAGTAGTACTGTTACGACGGATGGGAACCAAACAATAATTTTGCGAACGTGGAGGCCACTGGTACGGCTGAGGGCATGATTTGCTCAAGAGATGTTTGCGCTATCAGAGCAAGCCCATGGGGAACTGGGCCCAACTGGGCAAACTGGTTGGCTGTAGCCGCAAGCTGGGAATCGGAGCGCGCCCCCGTCTTCGCATCAGGCTCCGGCTGGACCTCGCGGAAAGGGGGTGCATCCGAGTCGGCAGCTTCGACTGGGCGGGGCGGTGTGGTACGCTGTGAAGAGAGCATCTCAGCGTGGCTAGCACTTTGGCATGTCATGCATGCGGACGCAAAGATGGAAATGTACGTACCATTCCTAGCCGGAGGTTGTGGCCCATCAGCCTCTTCCACTGCAGCGGGATCGAGAGCTCGACAGAGAGCCAGAGCTCCCGACGTCGGTGGGCATCTGAGCCTTCTGGAGGGCGCTCCAGCGCGACTCGCAAAATACGGGGGTTGGGCAGATTGTCGACTGCAATCGCACCGGTGTGGATGATGAACTCGGCAGCGAGTGAGCATTCTTGGGTGCCGAAGGAGTCGGAATAGAATGGGAATGTCACATGACTAGGATTGGAAGCGTGTATGTCTTGGAGGAGATCGAAGGAAGATCCGAAGGGCGGGCTGCCGCCGCGAACTTCCTCAGAGGACTGCGTTCGCGCATCTGATATTATACAGTAGTCTGCGCTTGAGGCGGAGAAGCGTGCCTTCGCATCCGGGGATGGCGCCAGGCCACGTAGGGTGCCGCCGAGGGAGCTCAACATGCACGGACCCCGTTTGGTGAGAGCCAGTTCCAGTCGAACACTCGTCGGGGAGGAGGGGTCGGGAGACTCGGAGGAGCTGAGACTGGTTGTCAAAATGAACTCGCCCTTCCTAGTGTGGCTGAACTGCACAGGAGAGAGGGCATATCCGACGCCATGCAGCTCTTCCTCGCATCGAGGGGCAACGTGAAAGGTTACGCCGACCTCTCCAACCTCGGACGAGAAGAGGCTAGTGCTGCACGGTGAAGACGTTGCTGCGTGAGCGGGTGAGTGACGCAGAAGGGGTATTTTGATAGGTGCTGGCGAGAGGAACTCCAGAGCTTCCGTCAACACGTCCTTGGTGAGGCGGACGGTGTGAGACGGATTATGCCACTGGCACCCTGCGATTTGTGTCCCGATCCGCAGACCTTGGTGATATCCTGCTCCAGGCGGTTGTTTGCATAATGGTAAGGTGATCAGAGCTCCATCTCTGTCTTCGCACTGCAGGAGGGCAAGCATGTGGGCGTGACCGAGCCGCTTACATGTCTCGCAGGCCAACCCGCCGGAAGGCTCCAGGGATGGAGAGAAGTGGGGGAGGATCTGGGGAATCCTGAGAAGATCGATACACAGGAGCTCCATCTCAACGCCCTGCGGGGTGAAGACGCTGTGAAGTCGTGGGACATCCTCCTCCTTGTGTCCGATGCGTGTTGCGAACTCCATAGGAGACAGCGTGTTGATAGTACCAAACTCGAAGTTTTGTGGGGCGTGAGCGAGGAGGCCGCAGCTGTGGGAAGTACGTTCAGCGGACCGTGTTCCTGGGCGAGTAAGCGACGACAGAGTGAGCGATGATCCCCAAGCGAAGATGCTCTGGTCCGGGATAGTGCGCATGACCTCCTCCTGAAGCCGAAGGAACGCGTTATGGCCCTCCCCGTATATTGTAGGCATGTGGACTCCGAATATACCCATCAGCGAGTAAGCCTGGTCCTCGACGCGTGTAGTCCTGCGCTTGGCGGCCCACGACATCCTCCGCGCAATAGCGATGGAGTCTAGCGTCGCTCGACCGGTCAGAACATCGAAGTCTATGCCGGTGACGTCCTCAAGGATCGACGCCAGTCCAAGCTTGGTGCCGATAAAGCGCCACGTCTGCGTCAGGAACACAGCCCGCCTCGGTGCGATCAATTCCTGTAGCGTCCAGCCTCGCGTATGCCATCGGCTCATCCCGAAGCTCGAAGAAGAGCAAGAGGGTACGTCGGTGTCGGGTACGTCGCTGAGATAGACGTAGCATATGTCTGCAAGTCGGTACCATTCATACATGGAGTTGATCGCCTCGGAGAGCTCCGCACTACTGGACTTGTCGATGCAGCAGGTGTCGTTCCAGAGAAGACGATAGCCAGCCTTTCGCGCGACCTCACAGGCGCCCTTGATCTTGGCAGAAAGCTTGGGGTGGGAGAAGAGGGCAGAGCTCGGCGCGTCGGCGGTACCGGAAAGGGCGGCAGGTGTGGCCTCGACTTCGTCCTGGAGCTTCCGTATATCGTTGTAGGATTGCTCGCCACCCTCTTCCTCGGATTGCCATGTGTGGGACAAGATGGCATAGGTGACGCCGAGCGTGCTATCCTTCCAGACGAATCTTCCCGTCGATGTATCGAGGAAGCGCGGCATGCTGGAGCGTGTATTTCAACAGGTCTGTTCATCAGATTCCGTGTAAATGTGCCGGTTAAGTCTTTTACCTTTGTGTCGAGAGCTGTAGATGGCTCCAAGTGGAGAGAGAGACAGGAAGAGGCGGAGAGGTGTGGAACGGATACAGGGAGCTACACCACGCAGAGACAGGGCTAAGGGCCCAGAGGAGACTGGGATCCGAGTGGTCGAGGGGAGACAGCGGAGAGTACGCCTTATACGTGTGAAGAATCCTTCGGGGGCGCGCACGGGCTGGAACACATCGCTGGCCCCCTTCTCGTGAACCTTATATGACGAAGTCATGAACCTCCGTGCACCTCAGGCTTCTGGTGAGAAGGCCGCGCACAGCCAGCCCGCCGGAATCTGTTGACCGCACAGCCCATCGTGAGCATTGCCGCCGAGCACGGGTAGAGCGAAAATACTCATGGATATACTTATGACAATCCATTTGACGAATACGTACGGTCCCGTGGTACATGATGCATGGTACGAAGCGCTTTAAACCTGATTTCATGCACCGTGACATCCTTGAGCGCGGGGGCGGCGCTGACTCACATTGAAGGTTTACCTTGAAGCCGACGTCACTGTGTGCTGGACGTGCCGTAGCATGAGTACACGGTCATTCATTACCGTAGATATCACCTACATGGATCATACACGCCTCAGAAAGTAAAGTACTTGGAGCGTACTGGCGGTTTCCCCGCTGCTAGCTCATGGGTGTTGCGCAATTAGCGCAAGCGCTCGCCGGTTCGTGGCGGCGGGCGTGCGGCTGGCAGGAGGCTGCGGCAGGCGCTTAGTCTTGGTACTTTCCTCGCCGTCGTCTTGCCCTCAGTGAGTGCCCCTATCGATGCCATACAGAAAGAACATATAGAGTATCTGTGTACACCCACACTTCCCACGTAAAGTATATAACAAAATGCACCACATATCTACTCGACGTCCTCATGAGCCATGCATGGAGCTAGCCTTCTCCATCCCCCTGTCCAACTCCTCGACCCAACTGGAGACCTCCATGTCGTGCATCACGTACCTTCCCTCCCCACATTCATGGGTGACCGCCACCTCGATCGCGCGCACCGCCTTCCCTACCAGCGCAAGCCACCACTGCGTCGCCTCGTCCGGCGCGGCGCACGCGATCGCGGTGTCGAATGCCCCGCTCCTGCTGCGCAGGTACCGCTTGATCGGCGCCTCGGGGGTCTGGCTGCCCGTGAGCCAGTGCGCGGCGTGCCGCGAGGCGAGCGTGTAGAAGAGCATGTCCGTCATCCACATGCAGTTGTACCCGAGTACGTGGTATTGCCGCACGGCGAGGCGTCCGTGCGCGATGATCAACAACTCCGCAAGCGTGGCGAGGGTCGGCGCCGCGCCGCACGGGATGCTGCCGGCGGAGGGGGGCGGGGCGGAGATGCACGAGATGCGGGTGCAGTGCGGAGTGAGCGAGTCGTGGTCGTCGCTGAGACGGACCACCAATTGCGAGTCGGACCCAGAGGGCGGCGTGGCCCAGTAGTCCACCTTGATGTGCGTCTTGCGCTTGCGGGGAAGGAGGACGGTAATGACGGTGAACTGGTGCCCCAGGACCCCCTGCGTCGCCTGCACAACAGCGCTTGCGGGCGAGGTGTCCTTGAACGTCTCGACACATTTGAGGGGGAGCGACGGGGCGATGTGCTGCTCCCGCAGGTATCTTGCGAACTTCGCAGTCGAGAGGGGATACGACGCGGTGTTGAGCTTGGAGGACTCGAGCACGTCGCTGATGAGGGCGCAGGACTGGGAGGCGAGCGTGGCAGCGTCGGACGACGAAGCAGACGCGCTGGAAGCGAGCAGCGACGCAAAGAACTCCATACTGATCAATGCGACGTCGGTGCGAGCGCAAGGCGTAGGCTCTGCAGGTCGTGAACGTGAACGGCTGCTGCGAATTATATACTAATCATCCTGATGTGATGCAGTAGGAAGCGCCGCCTCGTTGCTTGTACACACCGCCATGGGACATCTCGAAGGCTCTGGCTTCGAATTCGATGCGACGTGAGAGCAAGAGCCTAGCGAAATATAGAGCACTTCGTCGCCGTTGAACACGAGTACAAGGCACTGCACACTCAACGCCGTCAACGCAATCGCCGATCCATCGCGGATCAAGCTTCCGCAAGTCTCTGAAAGCGAGGAGGGGCTCACCTACTGACACTGCCTATTGGCGACGCAAGCTCAAGGCTGCGACACACGCAGTGCTAGCCTGAACGCAGCCGCGCACATACACAGCGGCGCCCACTGCGTGATCGCTTCTGCGCTGTAGCAGGCTTTCTCCTTCAAAAGAGCTGTCAGATATACTGGTGAGCCTACTGGGGGGGAAAAGGCGCGATGCAGGGAAAGACGGAGCTGACAGCAAAAGTGAGGAGGAGGAGGAGGAGGAGGAGGGGACAAACCTACGCAAGTCGTGTCGACCAATCCACTCGGAAGAACCCCACGGCAGCATCCGGCTGCCCGCCACGTGGCACCATGGCTCATTGGCGCTCGCCTCCAGCCTGAGGAATCCAGGATCCTCCCTCACACTCAGCACGCCGTTCCTCGCTTACACATTCAGGTCTATCGATGTTCTTGCATTATATCTTCCATATGGGAAACACCACACTAAGGCGGCTATCAGGAGCTCCTGCGTCTCTGGACGGTGATATGACCGGACCCTCAATATAAGTAAGTATACGGTATAAGGTTCACGTGAATATGTGCATGGCCATTCAGACAGATCTTCCAAGGCAAGGCGTGCCACGCGCCTTGCCCGGAATTGCCCTCTGCCATTCTCTGACACAGCCTTAACGTATTCTCGACCTCGTGAGGATACCGCCCCGAGAACAACCCTCTGCCCAGTGTGTATATTCCTCTCTAACCTGCGTCCACCTTACCCGTCAACTCCTCCGCGTACTGGCCTCTTCTGCCCCCCCTCAAAGGTCACTTAGCGGACATCGCCTCCTCGAGCAAACACACAGGTAAGAAGCGAATATTCGTATATGTGCCATATCGGTACTCACTTGTAATCCAGTCCAGGTCTCGCCTGTAGCCATGAATACGCTGGCACCCCGTCTTCCCATCGAGGTGTGCGAGAACGTCATCGACCACTGTATCAGCCGCGTGGACGCAGAACATCACGAAGACGTATTCGAATCCTACGGGGCGCTCCTGGCTTTCTCGCTCACCTGCCGGAATCTTTTACCTCGCAGCCGCCGCAATCTGTACGCGGTCGTGATGTTTACCGGTAGCGACCAGGTGGACGCACTGTGTACGACTCTCACCCGCCCCAGAAGGGCTGGTTGTTCGATTCCTACTGGATAGCGGCGTGCTTGCATCTCCAAAACCCTCGGACGTTTGTGTTTACGCTCCCGGCGGGCCCGCACTCGGGCTCAAATACCATACGGTGCACGCCGGACTGGTGGAGGCAGGAAATACAGGCGCGGCTCAAGTCGTCGAAGGTGCAGGTGCTTGTCGAACTTACCGCAGATAACGGTGAGTCAATCCATCTGGCTGATTTATCGGACATATATTGACCTTACCCCTGGTCGGATAATGTGCATGTATTCAGTAGATACGTTGTGGCCATGCCCCTGGCTAGAGGAGGACGCAGAAGACTGGCTGGGCATCGACACCTGGGAATATCCTGAGTACATTCCAGTTATAACTTACGCTTCGCCGCTTGAGACGGAGGAGGAACTTCAAGGTTACGACTCCGATAGCACGACGTCTACGGACAGTGGGTCGGAGCTGTTATAGATGGCGCCAGTGTAGACAACGCCTTGCCATTCTTCTCCGGGAAAGTTGTACGTCCGTTCCAACAACATCTCACGAATCTCTTGACGATTTACCTTTCCAGCCTACTAGGAAAATGGAGCAAACTATAGCGCATTAGCATGTGCGGGACGGGCATGATGGAACACGGAACGAAGGGACAGTCCACATCGAAAGCCAACGCAGGTCGCGGTCTTCCGCTTCACTGATTCGAAATGAATGCACTATATTCAGGAACAACACGACGTCCGCGGCTTGTTGGGTCCGGGCTGTCCGAACCAGGCACTGGCGACCGGTGCTCTTGAACATGTTCTTTCGGTAAACCGCCGTATACCACACACACCTCGAAGCACGCGCGCCCGGATTACATTGTGCCTTCGTATGACGCGCGGCTGCACATTTCACGTCCCTCCGCCTCGTACCGCCGGAACGCATAGTACCACAGACTGTTACGCGCGACTCGGGAGGCTATAGGTACGGATTCTCTCCTTTTAGCAATACGCCGCGCAAGAATAGACTAGACATGCCTCCCTCCGGATGCTCCTTCTTTCTGACGCCTCACACGAAGTCATGTTATGTACGAAACACGTCGGAGCATACGCGCTTCACCCACGGGCGATAGTGCTAGACGTTGTGCCGGCGTCCGATCTACGCTTCTCTCCGCTCTGATGGGCCCCTCTTACCTACCGCCCTCGGGCCTCATACCTCGTGTCACAGACTTGCGGCGGGCGCAGCGCGGTGCTGTCGCTGGTGAACATCGATAAGGTCCGCCTTCCGACAGCATCCCGTTGTGCTACAGTCCGTGAGCAGCTTCCCGCTCCGCAACGCGTCGTACGAACGTACCTAATCTCACCATCTTTCCCCTGACTGGAGGGTGGAACTCGGCCCGAATCGAACACTAATGGCCCGACGTTGAGAATGACGGGCTCCGTGGCATCGTGAGCTGCCTGCGGGGTTTCTGTTGAATTGATATGTGCGCCCGTCGACGCTCGAAGTGTCATATGTTGGACATGGTGCGCTAGAACAGGCGGCGCGAGAAGGGGCAGTCGGGCTTCGGTTGAATTGCATGTTGGACACCGGCCTGCGCTCCAAGGAGACATCGTGTTTGCGGCGCGGTTCCGGTCGCTGACCTGGTTCCGGAGGTTGGTTCTTCTATGCCGGTGCTGCGTTGCTTTCCCTACCGGGCTTGAATGGTTGACCAGTGGGACCCGGCGCGCGAGCCTCGTGATAGGTTGTAGCGCGTATCGCGACTAATATTGGTTTCGATGTGCCTTGTGCGACATTGGTCCCGATGGGATGGTCGCGGAGATGATGGTACGGCGGCAACTCGAAGGTATTGCTGCTCACCCGATATCCTCGAAGACGGGTACAATACGCGCTGCGTTAGTAAGCACGGTTGCTGCGGCTGGTACGCATAGTACGTACATGGGAGTCCCAAGACCAGCGGGAAACTCGAGTTGCTAGCGCACCCGAGGAGTCCGAGTCCAGCTCTGGAGAATTGTGGCGGGTGTTGTAACGGATGGAGGGATCTGGCCATAGATCTCCTTGTGGCGCTGGCATCACTGTAAGCTAATCTCGATTGTCTGTTTCCCACGATAGTTGCTCGGGCGCCTCCACTGCACTCCTCCTCCGAGACTCCCACGACGAGCGATTCCTCGTAACTCGGGGTACCTTGCAACATATCTCTCGCTGAGCTTCATTGGCACTTAGGGGCATACTCCAGAGTCGAGACCACCTGACAGGTCTGCGCAAGGAAATTTGCGTGTGCACTACCGGTAAGCCTGAGAATAATCACTGTGGCCGCTTCTGTTCTGATATTGATAGAGATAGCCCGGACGCGCCCGCGAACATGGCGTTGCTTCGGCGTGCGGAGTCGCGTACGACATTTGCACAGAAAACACTGTTTTCTCACATATAGCGCTTTGGATGGCCTATGAGTGTGACGTGCTTAGAAGCAGGAACGGTTTGCAGATTCCGACCTCGCACCGCATCGGACTCGACTAGCTCCCCGCGGCGTCCGGTTTGGTGGCGGGACAGATCCACGGCTTCGCGCGCATGTAGGCGCAGGCCCGATGGGAGTTTCTGGCCAACGCCCGAAGATGGCTTCCTGCCCGATATGTAAGCGAGGTCATTTGGATTGGGCATACCCTGTGCGCTCCATCACAGCGCTGCCGGCAGCTCGCCCTCGAGACGGGGCTCGTGAGCTGCCGAAGGCCGCAGTGCGCTGCCGTCACTCAAATTGCCCGCAATCAGACGACGGAACCGTGCAAAGCTTGACAGGCGGCGACATATATACTGGTCCCCGGCCGTGGTGGAGCAGCCCAGTCCTGCTGCTCACCGACACCCCTTTCCAAAACATCCGACGTCCCCCCTCTCCGTAGAACTTGTACTCACCTCACCTTCAACAACTTCACGATGTCTATGCTTCAGAACGCACCTGGTTTCTACAATGCCAAGGTCCAGACGGTGCAGGGCGCCAACAGCAAGACGTTCAAGCGTATAGAGCTTGACACCACCCTCACCATCCCCGAGCTGTTCGAGTTCCATGCGAAACACAGCCCGGAACACCCCGTCTTCGTGTATGCAGACGAGAACAACCAGGAGCATGTTCTCTACTACCCCGAGGTCTACCGCGGAATCCGCAAGGCCGCCACGCTCAGCGCAGGCTACTACGAGCGCATGGCGGATTACTACGCACAGGCGCAGCAGGGGAAAAACGCGACCGAGCCGCCCGTCATCGGCATCCTCGCGACCGCAGGTACGCGCATCAAGCGTCGTTTGACACGCCGTCCACGCTGACACTCCACGCAGACACGATCTCCTTCTACACCCTGAAGGTTGGGCTGATGTACCTCGGGCTCACGCCCTTCCCGATCTCGACGCGCAACTCCGCGATCGGCGTCGCGCACCTCGTCTCGAAGACGGGCGTGCGCCAGATGTTCGTGAGCGCAGACCCCGCAATGCAGCGGCTCGCTCACGAGACGATCGAGCTGCTCGCGAAGGACGGGCTCGCGCTCGACCTGCTGCCCATGCCGACGTTCGAGGACATGTACGGGCCCGGGGGCGACGACGCGTTCGTGCCCATGGGCAAGGTCAGCCCGGACCAGACGGCTATCATCCTGCATTCCTCCGGTGAGTGCCCCGAGGCGAGCGGCGTTGCGTGGAGGGATCCGTAGATGCTTATACTGTAATTCGCAGGATCCACGGCATTCCCGAAGCCGATCAAGTTCCTGGACAAGAACTTTAGGAAGTGGGGCACCTTCGTCTGTACGTGTCGATGCGCCACATGCGGATTTGATGGGGTGGCTGACTGGTCGTGAATTTGCAGTCTATGGCGACTTTGACTTCTGCGGCGTCCGGGTCGCAACGCAGCCGAACCCTATGTTCCGTGGGTCATCTCTTTGTTTCCGCGGGTGGCGTAACATACATCGCTGACATCTCTCTCTTCAGACGTGATGGGTTCGCTCACAATGGTCTGGTCGGTACGTGTCTTAACTTCACGTCTGCGTGGATCCGCGCTCATACGTGTATGCGACCAGCTGTACGTTGGTGTGGTTTGGACAGTGTTCGAGCCCAAGACGCCACCGATCATGCCTACGCCCGAGGTTATTCTGGACTCGGTTGTGGCCACTCGCACCGAGGTGGAGTATATTGTCCCCGCCATTATAGAGGTAGATCCGCGGCACGCGATCCAGTGCTTCGGATACCAGATTGACGCGTACACAGACGTGGGCGAAAGACCCAGAGAACATGGAACGGATGAAGACCTTGCGCGCCGTGGTATGTCTCTCCAAGGCGTCCTAGGATGTTTCTTTGTTGACTCCAGTTGCGCACAGATCTATGCGGCAGCGCCGATGAACAAGCAGATCGGGGACCGTATGACGGCGGAGGGCATCGCGCTCATCCCCTTCTACGGCTCGTCAGTCGCCATTCATTCTTGTACAGACGTCGCCCCGAGCTGACACCGTCTCGAATTTCGCTAATAGGACGGAGATCGGCGCGGCAGTGCGCCTGATCCCGAATCCGGACACGATGGACAAGTCCGAGTGGGAGTACTTCCAGATCTCGCCGCACATCGACATCCGCCTCCTCCCGCAAGACGGCCAGCCGGACATCTTCGAGCCCGTCGCATTCGTTAGTATCTTCTCTATTCCAGGCGCGGGCGGCGCGGACTGATACCAGGTGCACAGGACTCGCCGACGTTCACCCCGAACGTGTTCAACTCGGTCATTGACGGGCGCCCTGCGTTCTCGTCGAACGATCTGTTGCAGCGGCACCCCACCAAGCACCATCTGTTCCGTGTGTTTGGGCGTAAGGACGATCAGCTCATGCTGTCTACCGGAGAGAAGGTGCATAAATCCGCTGTAGTTCGCGTTCCGGCGCCCGTTTGCTAATCATTTGCTTCGCATTGCAGACCAACCCGGCACCTCTTGGTACGTAGCACTTGACAAGGAGGGATCACAGTGACTAACTACGCTTCGCGATGTAGAGGCGATTTTGGTCCAAGACCCACACGTGCACGCGTGCCTGATGTTCGGCCGTGGGCGCTTCCAGAACGGTGTTCTCATTCAGCCAAAGGAGCAGTTCGATCCAAATGACGAGGCGAAGTTAGAGGAGTTCCGTAACAAGATCTGGTAAGTACAACATCCTACAGATGGTATCTTCGCGGGCGACATCTCACATATGCACTGCCTTATCTGTGCAGGCCGACAGTTGAGGAGCTCAACTCGTACGCGCCCTCACATTCGCGCCTCTTCAAGGAGGTAAGCGAGGCACCTTCCTGGAACATCCCCACAGTTCGCTAATGCCGCGGCAGACGATCATGGTCACATCTCCCGACAAGCCCTTGGAGTACACGGCGAAGGGCACGCCACGTCGGCAGGTCTGCATCGCCGCATACGCCGAGGAGATTGACGCCCTCTACAAGCGCATTGAGGAGTCGTCCCAGGTCCTCGCCCCGCCGCGCGACTGGTCGCCCGCCAGCACGCACGCATACATCAAAGCCGTAGTGCGGAAGGTGATGAAAAACGACGACATCCAAGACGACGATGACCTCTTCCAGAATGGCTGTGACAGGTGCGTGCCCCTCAGGTGTCCTCTATGGTTGAATGTTCCACCTACTGACGCCGGCGTTGACACGGCACAGTCTGCAGGCAACGTGGATCCGCAACACGCTCATCCACGCGCTCCGCGCCGTGGCGACCGTGAGCACGCACGACATCCCGTCCAACTTCGTGTACGCGCACCCCTCGATCCGCGCGCTCTCGACGTTCCTGTCCGGCCTCATCTCGGGCGAGACGGCGCTCGCGGGCGCGGATGCAGAGCGCGCAGCGGCGATCGCGCGGATGCGTGCGCTCCTCGACAAGTACAGCGCGGGGCTCGAGCGCCACTTCCCGGAGAAGCTCGCGAACGGGCATGCAAACGGCCACGCGAACGGCGCGCCTGCTGGTGCGGAGACCGTCATCCTTACGGGCACCACGGGGCGACTTGGCGCGCACCTCCTTGCGCAGCTGCTGGAGCGGGCGGACGTCGTGAGGGTGTATGCGCTAAACCGCGAGCCCTCTGGGTCTGTGCAGGCGCTGGAGGCGCGGCAGAAGGCTGCGTTCGAGCAGTGGGGCCTGGACGGCTCTTTGTTGACGTCCGGCAAGGTTACCCTGCACGTCGTCGACCTCGCGAAGACCAATCTCGGATTGAGCGGGGAGGTATACGAAGGGGTGAGCACTGCCTATGAGAGCCCGAGGTGGTGTCGCTGACGCAATATACAGATGAGATCTAGCGTCACTCAGATCATCCACAATGGTGAGCTTATTGCATATGTGCACTGCAGAGATCGTGTTGTTAACACTAGCTACCTTCACAGCGTGGCGCGTGGACTTCCAGGTCTCGCTCCAATCATTCGAGCCGCTCCTGGCTGGTGCAAGGAACTTGCTCGACCTCGCTCTTCACTCCCCTCTTCCCGGAGGGCCCCGCGTGCTCTTCGTCAGCTCCATCTCCTCACTACGCAGTAAGTGCACCCCTCTATTTCGTGTTATAACTCACTGACCTTATGTGTCGCAGACTACTCTGGCTCGAAGCCTGCAGAGGAGACGCACGAGACCGAGCCCGACCTCGCAGCTGGCTCCGGCTACAGCGAGAGCAAGTGGGTCACAGAACATCTCTTTAGCCTGGCTACGGAGAAGACGGGCTTGCAAACGACGTCCGTCCGCGTCGGGCAGGTCAGCGGTGACCAGCGCCTGGGCGGCTGGAACACGACGGAGTGGGTCGCCGCGCTCGTCCGCGCCAGCCAGCGCCTCGGCTGTATCCCCGTCAAGGAAGAGGTGCGCCATGCCCTAGCATATCCCTCTGTTACGTTTACTAATCGCCCCGTTGTGCAGGAGGTCACCTGGGTCGCCGTCGACGTCGTCGCCTCCGCGCTGCAGGACATGGTCGACAGCGGCGAGCGCTCTCTGCACCTCGTCTCGCCCAAGCCCGTGCAGTGGAACACCATCTTCGTCCCGATCGCCGGGCGGCTCGGGCTGCCCACGGTCCCCTACGCGGAGTGGACCGCGAAGCTCGAGCACTCCGCGACCGTCGCGGCGCAGGCGGGGCCCGGGGTCGGCCAGCACGACGCGGCGCACAACCTGCTCGGGTTCTTCAAGAGCGAGGGCATGGGCGGTGCCGCGGTGCCACTGAGCACGGAGAAGGCGGTGCGGGCGTCGAAGAGCCTCGCGAACGCGCGTCCGATCGGGGGGGAGGACGCGGTGAAGTATGTGGAGTACTGGGCGAAGGTCGGGCATATCAAGGCGTAGACGACCTCGCGCGTGATGGTTAGTAGATGGGGGTGTATATGTACCACAGCATAGATTGTATCAACAGACATATTAGTAGCGTGACTTGAATGGATGGACACCGTGCACTGCGCTTGGGCGAATGAGAAGCCAAGATTCAGAATCGCGCGTCATATGCCGTAGCAGTGGCACTGAGACGGCGCTGAGCGTTGAGCGCTAAGCAACTAGGATTCTTGAACTTAGCGTCCATCACCCACTCCAGGATGCATGATGACTTCCACGGCCCTGACTCTAGCGGAAATCAAGACTCTCCTGCAATACTCGACGAACCTCAATCCCGAGCCTGACCTTCTTCAGGCTGGGGCGCACTCGGACCCCGTTCTAGCTCCGGACCCCGTTCTAGCTCCGGGCCCCGAGCAATACGACCTGCACCCCGAAGGGGATCAGCGTGCAGTCAGGGCAATCGTGAAAGACGGTATACACATGGTAGTCAAGTTCGGAGTGGAAGTCTATGCGCGCGAGGCCGACGTCATGACATTCGTAGCGTCCCACACATCTATCCACATACCGCGCCTCTACGGCGTCTTCACCGAGGCCGTCTTAAACAACACCGTAACCTACATCGTCCAGGAACAGGTCCCCGGCACCCGGCTCGAGCACGTCTTCGAAACTCTCTCCGCGTCCGAGCGCGACGCGATCGCGCACCAGCTGAAGGACGTCTTCATCCAGTTGCACAGTCTGGCCGGTGGCAGGACGCGACTCGAGCCGTTCGGTGGCGGCTCGTGGGCGCGCACCCTCTGGTTCAAGTGCTTCCAGAACGACTTTCCCATGGGCGACGACGACGCACACACGACGCGCGCCCTGCTCACCTACTTCCTCGGGATCACAAGCAGACGGTACCGACCCGGCGGCGCCTGGAAGCTCGACGAATTTCTCGCGCTCTTCGATCTCGACCGGGCTCCGATATTCTCGCATGGCGACCTTACGCCTTGGAACATCATGGTGCACAACGGGCGAATCTCCGGGATCGTCGACTGGGCGGAGGCGGGCTGGTACCCGTACTTCTGGGACAGCTTCGTGCTCGACCGCGCGGCGTCCATGTTCTGGAAGGTCCCGGGTGCGCAGGAGATGCTGCGCGCGGCGTTGCTTGAGTTCTTCCCCGAGGGTACCGAGTTTGGGATCCACTGGAATGTCCAGAGCGACTTCTATTACTGATGTACCCGGCTCGGTGTGTCTTTGCAAGCGTTCCCCAATCAAAACATTGTAACTGACGAACTTCTCCTGTCAGGACGCCACCATCTGGTATATACCTCCACGCTGCAGAGCGATCTCCGATTATGCGCCTGGGAATGACCTGCGCGACTATGCAATGTAGCGGAGTCGCGCTAGATAGAATGCCTACAGCATGGTCGTTCCGCAGGAGTCTGGTTTTTGCCTAAAGGAACGCGTGCTTCGAGACGTGTGGAGTGTGCGTTCCGCCAGCCGGGTGGAGACATTGAAGAACAACCAGCCGACAACTCACGATGCCCACCGCCTGAACTTGTCGGTGAAGGTTACCTGAATTGCCGTCGACGTTGTTGTATCGGCACTGTAGAACGCAGTCAGTAGCGGCGGGTGCACTGGCACCCTCAGCAGTCTCGCCCCAGCCCGTGCACTAGTGGAACAACGTCTTCGTCCCGATCGCCGAGCGGTTCGAGTCGGCCGTGGTGACTCCCATACGTCGAGTGGATCGTGAGGCTCGAGTCGGTGGCGTCGCAGCGCAGGTGGCTCCAGGGTTCGTCAGCATGATGCGCACAATTCTTTACAAGTGATAGCATGGGCGCGCGGCGGTGCGTGCGCCGCCCAGTATGAGACGCTTAGCAGGCATAGTATCAAACATTAGAGCAGTCTCCACTGAAGGAAGATACGAGATGGGAGCGCACGACGTGCATAGATTCTTCCAATACGCAATATACGCGAGGATAGATGATTACTACGAGCATCCGTTGTGCTTCCAGACTTTTCTTCGGTCGTTCTTATAGTATGATGCAGCAAATAAATTCGAGGATACAGATACATAGTGTAGAGGTGCGGTCACGTAGCATGAACAGGCAAGGACGCCAGTTTCAAGGAGAAGTACGAAGCCCCTCAGCCTGTGAGCTGTGCCGTAACTTAACTCATCACCGTCGGGCGAGCAACAGGCCGTTTCCGGGTAGACTGCGAGGCAGCGCCCCTGTCCTAGTTTCTCCGCCTTGTGGTACGGTAGTTGTAGGCGTCCCGGATGGCCTGCTCCGCCTGTTGCGGGGTGAAGTGGTCATGATGATTGTATACGTACCTGCTGTCCGTCCGGGCCCTGTGGAGCTGGTAGACAAACGAATTCAGCTTGCATACAGAGGGCTTCAAAGCGCAAGTCGAACCCACCCTGGCGTTGATCTGGTCCGGAGTAATACACATCGCGCGGATGGTGTTCACGACGCATGTGATACAGTTCGAGCCTGCGTTGTTACCGACGTGAGTCGGGTCCTGCTCTGAGCAGTAGTCCACGAGCGTCCGGCGGCTCGGTCGGTCCAGCGTCCCGACGTGCATGAAAGCCCAGTGTTGGGCGCTTCCGTAATCGCGTTGGCGAAAGTGCCGGCGGAAGGCGTACTGGCCCGTCGCATTGTCCTCGTTCGGAACGAAGATTTCCATGACGTGATAGCCTTCCAGACGCTCCCCGTGCCGACGGTTCGGGTCCCTAAGAGGGCCAGCGATGGCCCAGACGATACGCCAGTGGATTTCTCTAGTGGCTGTATGGCAGGTTAGCGGAAGTATTGAGAAGAATTCAGATACGTAGTACTCACTGTCATGCACCGCTATGTAGATCGGCATCGGGTCGTTGAACTCGACACACATATCGAGAACCCTTTGGTCTTTACATTCATTGAAGCGCCTCATAGAAACAGGTATCGTGCTCTTGATAGAGATCTGGAGATGATGAGAATCGATGGGCTAGCGGGAAGAAGAGAGGACGACACGGCAAGCACCGCAGGATATCACGGCCCCAGAAAGACTTTGAGATCGTGAAGCAAACTATAACTGTCGCTAATCCTTTGTCCCCGAACAAAGAGATTTTTGACAGTTATCGTTTGTTTCAAGTTCCTGGGCCTATCCGACGTCCTGATATCCCGGGATGTTTGCCGTGCGATGAGGTGGGCTGCAGCTATGGGCTGGAAGAAATTGCAGGCAGGCCTATATATACGGAAATAGGGGATGCGAGACGGTTGCATTGCGCTGAGTCTCCAACAGACGGTGGGCTGGTAAATCAACATGAGAAGAAAGGAGTCGGCTGTTGCGGGTACTAACCTGGGAAGGTGGGGCCATGTCTTTGTCCTACTACCGTCGCGCAGGCAAGGGCGTGTGCTGCTGAACTCCCCAAGCGGATGCACATAGACGACCGGACCAGCTGCGAACGAGCATCCTGTCCGCGCTACAATGGGGTCGGCTTGTGCAATGTTGGGGTGGGCTTCCCGGTTTCGTCCATCCATAGAGTGTCGCACAATGGGAGTGCCTGGCACAGAAGGCATGTAGTAGAACGGCTTAGCCGTGGCCGCCGCATGAAGGTAAGGCGCAATCGTGTACCTGTGGCTAAGAGAGTGGGACCCTGGAAGTCGAGGGGACAATAGGATGGCTGGTCCGCCCGGATATATGCTACACAGGCAAGCGTGTAAAGTGGTGACGTAGGTGCTAGTGAGCGCGCACTTACGAGTCATCGTTAATGAGACAATTGTGTGAGATCTGTACAGGCTTGGATCCAGGGTCGCTTGTGGTAGTTGTTAGAGGACTCTGTTAGGGCAATGGCTAAGCGAACAGGTTCCATGATCGTGCGCCTCCAGCGGTACGGAATAGTATGGGGCCTCTACTAGGTACCGCCCCATAGGCCCAGGGGCGTCCGCACATGGCTTGGTGCTTGACCGGGAGACACAGTGGAGGCTATCGGCGTACGCGTACACCTATAGGAGGAGGTCAATGTACCAATGAACGGAGTGGTAGACAGCATCGGGGAATTGGCCTCTATTGTATATGCCCATGTAAGCCCATGTAATAAGTACATTCTCTACAATTTTTAGAAGTATTGTGGACGTCCTTACATGGTCATATATGATCAATCTCCCTTTGGCAAACAACACAAGCCTTGCGAGACGCTACAAGACTTGGGCGCATTATATCTCTTGCAGGACTCCTGACACCCCGTCGGGGCCAACGTAGCGCGCCCCCGTCGGTCTGGTCTCCGGAGCGGGAACTTCAAACCATTTGCTTCTCACGCAGGAAAAGTATTCGCAAAGAGATAGTATTATAGAACATACATATACATGTAGAGGACACAGCTCAGGAAATATAGGTAGATCCGCCGATAACTCACCTGTAGCAAACCCGTCGTCGCAGGCCCGGGACGGCGGCGGCGGCGGCGGCGTCACGTCCTGCACAGAATAGCACACCCCACGGCGCGGAGAGCGCACGTCGACAGAGGGGGTCCGAGCGCGACCTGGGCGACCTTGCAGGGCATGTACGAATGTCTTGCGCGGATCCCGGATGTGGTGTTCTTGATGCCTACATAACGATGCACGTTAGTATAACGTCGTAGCCGGCCGCAATGGCCCGCTCCCTCATAACAAGGACGTGGACGGCCACGGAGCAAGCAGCTCGGGAGTCGAGTCAATAGTCCACCAACATGGACGCAGCTTGGCTGCGGAGCAATAACAGCTCTGGACACGAGGGGAGATGGGAGAGGAGCTAAGGCAAGGACGGACGCGCACGATGGTGCCAGCGCACGCAGGCTTTGAGGCCACGGGAAGAGGCTTTAGGGCCGGCGGTTACGGCCTTCCTGCCGCGCGATGAGAGTCATGCCCGCTGCCCAGCGACCTGGTCAGTACCTATAATGTGAGTACAAGAATTGGACGGGCCTGACAAGTCCTCGGAAGTGTGGCGAGATATTAGGATCAGATATAAGGCCATACAAGTTCACAACAGACTTGTGCCAACATATAAGCGCTAAAAGGTCATATCTGCCGAAGGCGGATTCCCCGATGAGATGCGGCACAAAGGGAGTGCCACCGAACAACGTCCGCGACCGAATTACAAGCGCGCTTATTCTGGCGCCCGTCGGTAGCCACATCCGAAAGTTCGGATATCTCTGGATATTCCCCTCAACTTCTCCATCAACGTGCAACCTCTCGTCTCTCAACCACCACCATCTCATGATGGCTTCCATGGGCACTCTCCAAGAAGTCAAGGCCCTTCTGCGCTACTCTACCAACCTCAAGCCTAAACCGATCGGCACAAACCAAAACCCCGTCCCGACTGGTCCTGAACCGTACGCGCTGCCCTCATGGGGGACAGGGCGCGCGGTGAGGGCTATCGTTAAAGACGACGTACCAATGGTAGTCAAGTTCGGCCTAGAGGTGTATGCGCGCGAGGCCGAAGTCATGAACTATGTGGCGTCGCGCACACCCATTCCCATGCCGCGCGTCTACGGCGTCTTCACCGAGGCCGTCGAGCAGTCGGATGACATTATGACCTACATCGTCCAGGAGCAAGTCCCCGGCATGCGACTCGAACACGCCTTCGAGTCGCTCTCTGCCTCCGAGCGCGACGCAATTGCGCGCCAGCTTAAGGGTATCTTCACCCAGCTCCGCGGCCTCACGGATGGCCAAACAAGACTCCAGCCGTTCGGTGACGACTCCTGGGCGCGCACATTTTGGTTCAAGAACTTCCAGCGTAACTTCCCTATGGGCGACGAGGACGCGCGGACGACACGCTCTTTCCTCGAGTACTTCATCAAGATCAAAAGCAGATCCATCCGAGACTGCGACTGGACGCGCGACGAGTTCCTGGCTTTCTTCGACCTCAACCGCACCCCCATGTTCTCGCACGGCGACCTGACGCCCTGGAACATCATGGTGCACAACGGGCGCATCTCTGGCGTCGTCGACTGGGCGGAGGCGGGATGGTACCCGTACTTCTGGGACAGCTTCGTACTAGAGCGCGCGGCGGACCGATTTTGGCAGATTCAAGGCGTCGACAAGATGCTGCGGGCGGCGCTGCTCGAGTTCTTCCCGGAAGGCGACAAGTTCGCCGTCCACTGGGGCGTGCAGTGGGACAACTACTGGTGATGCGTGAACAAATGTGCGCCTTCGGAAAGTTTCCCGATGGACGAATCACAGCTGACCATATTCTGTCAGACGCCGCCCACTACTCAATATTTTCGAACGATCTTGTCCTATATCCGATGGCTTGAAAGTCATCAATTGCCATGACGCAGCGGAGTGGTATGGATTTCGCTGAGAATCTAGGTTACGTGTGTCAGCGAATTGTTGTACAATCTCTCACCTGTCAGCAATATATTGTATCAATATCCCAACCCAGGTACTCCGGCACTGATTATGCGGAAGTATGCGGGGTGTTCGTCCGGGGAGAGATCAGGAGGGCACATTAGCATCCGCCGGCGGCCACGATCACGAGCTGACTCTGCGACTGCTCGGTCGGATGATGCTTAGCGGACGCCATTCGGAACGAGACCCAGACACGACGGCTTCGTTGTATTTTTGCCGGAGGAAAAGGCGCCTTTATCTCCACCAGTTTAAGCACCCTGCTGCCAGCCCCGTCGCGGCACAGGCGGATTCTGGGATAAGCGGATACGACGCGACTAATAACCTGTTGAATCCCACAAGAGCGAAGGCATGAGCGGTGGGGCGGTATTGCCTGGGCGCGGAGAACACGGTTGTACAATCCTCTGAGAGCCTGACGAGTACGCGCCCGAACGGACGACCGGACGGTGTATCCGAATGCATTGGGGTACAACACTGGCGAGGGGTGAACGAGTTCGCGTGCAAGAAAATCAAGAAACGGGGATACGTGACGCTCCATATACATAGACTGTTCCAACGCGCCTGAGTCACCTAGTAGCATTGCAAGGTACGATCCGCGACGCGATCCGTTCGCCCGGTCAGAGCGGTTCTCATACCCTGTCCATCGCGCCTTAGCACTCGACGAAAAGATTCATGCGTCCTGTGGGCGGGCGATAGCTGAAAGAGATGTAGTCAGGGAGTAGAAGGTGGTGCAGCGGGTGTAGAAAACTTACGGATTCCGATTCTTTTATGCTCTGTAGAGACCCCCCTCGCGCTCATATATGCATCTTCTGAGCCGTAGCATGTCCGACCTTGAAGTTTCACCCAAGGGATAGATGGGAGCCAGAACTTCCGCAACTTTAGAACGACCGGTTCCACGACCTCGACCTCGAGCTCATCCCGCCAGTCTCCCGGCGAAGGGTAAGTCAGACACCGGAATCTATCGAAATCGTCTGCATCGCTTGAGTCGTTGTCCGCATCGATCCATACGAGCCTCCACAGAGGATCTATACATTCAGCGTGAGAGTCAAGATCAATTTCACGCGTCATGCGTCAAGAAGAACACTAGACGAGGACACGGCGGCTCACCGTGTTCTGTGCTGCTCTCAACCATCACCGAAAGGGCTGGCATTTCTAGCCGCTTGTGTATCTCCTGTGCCCACCAATCCGACGTATCCCAACTGGTCTGAGATGCTGCGGAGCGCGGCAGCGTGACAGACAGCACCCGGAGGCTCCGGAGGCCATGGCATACCTCAATGAACAGGGGCCCAATAAGCTTCCGCAGGAGCGCATAGCGGCTTATTGCTTGGTCGATAGCGAGGTCGCCAGACGGCGGCCAAAGGCGAAACAAGATGTGCTGTAAGCGCGAATGGGTGCGCGCCTCGAGAATGAGAAAAGCCGCCCAAGTTGAGAAGCTGTCGGAAGGGTCCATTCTACTTGGCAAAGTTACGCAGCAGTTGTTGAAGTCGGTCACAAAAACCAGCATCTCCAGGAAAAGAGACACCGACACTAGCCCAGATAACACGTCTGGGTAAGGGGCCGCGGCCCATCATGTAAGTGAATGAGCGGTGATCCATACGATGGGTAGATAACAAGAGATGAGTTATGGCTTACCAAAGTCGCATCCGCCCAATGGATGCCAATGCAAGACTAGCTCCACAAGACATGTGCCGAATGTGGGTATAAGTGAGATGTGGAGAGAGTGACTCTCTGGGCTTTGCTTATGAGGGTCGAACAGGTCAGCGCAGCGTTACTACAAGCAGCCGGTGTACACTCACATCTACTTCGAGAAATTGAAGTGAGGGGGACCGATTTTTTTGTGTTACAAGGGTTTGCATGGAGCGTATTTGATCGGGTGATACCTCTGCGTTGTTCATAGCGCCAGAAAACATAAACACGTGAAGTCGCTCTAGCTCGCAAAATGCCCACATGACCCGGACGGCCTGAGGGGATGTCCAGAAAGGTGCTGAGCTCCACAGAAAGAGCTCGGTGATGGGATAGAGTGAGGCAAGCCTATGATACCACGGCGGGTAGAGTGACCAGTCCACTTTCAGTACTAGCGTCTGCACGTTCGGAACCTTGCTAACAAGTTCGGAACGGGCGAACGGGATGTACTTTCCACCCGATGTTTTGTCCTGGCTGGGATCCACCCTAAGCGCACGGACGAGTTCTCCCAGGGAGGGGTTGCTAGTGAGGGTCGCGAGGAGCTCGTCCACCTGTTCGCTGCACCTGAACATCACGACTGAGTACAGATTTTTGCGGCTGCGTGGCAGCAAATCGCGGCAGATCAGCGAGCATGTGCAGAGGACTTGATATGCGCGGAGGACTTGTTCGTGGTTGGGTACTGCCGCATGGCTAACGCATGAATCGATGATCTCCTCGATGACTTCGACCGGGAGGCGGGGTCCGTTCATGACCGTGAGGTAGATTCCGCCTGATGGGCATTAGTACGGTCCATGTTGGAGAATCAAGTGTAATACCTGTGTAGAGGGCCGCGTCGAGTAGGATAAAACGGTGTGGCCTATCAAGGAGCACCCAGAGCTAGCGAAAAAGATGGAGGTGCAGAGCAGAGTGCCCGCCGTTGTCAACGGGCGGCCGCCACGAGTTTGAACAAGCCAGGGACGGCAAGAGGCCTGCCAGTGTCACTTTACGGAAGCGATGACGCGGCCTGGTCGACGCCCGATGCAAGTATTTCCGGAATAAGAGCCTGGGGGTCATCCCAGATCTACTTGCGATATTCCCTATGAAATTTCGGAGAACTCGAAACTGCTCACTGGTATGTTGCGAGTTGCGAGCCCTGCAGGGATACATTTAAGAGGACGTACGTGAGCGCTCAAACCCTTAGCGCCACTGAACCGAATGAGCGTCTAAAGTACACGTGGAAAACATCGCCACTTGGGCCAATCGTGGCCACCGCAACCTTGTTGGAACCCTTTCGACACGGAGCCAGTGTTTTCGTGGTACGCACGGCAATACTGTCTGCATATCTATATTTAAAATAAGTGATAACATACTGACAGATCTATCCAGAGCTGATTGACACTGTACACTCGCTCTGAGGCGCCTCCTAGCCACTAACTAGTAGTCAGCAAGTTTACGATCCGAGCACTAGAAGCGGCCCCGGGCCAGCTCTACTCAACATGTCAACAGAGGCAGCGGTAGACCACATCGGAAACGTGCTCCATGCGGTAGGGGCACCATACATCGACCCCGAAGATATGAGAAGGCTATACAAGGGCCGAGTGGCGGAGGTCCTCGACTTTGCGGCCTCAAACCTCACAGGGAGACAAGCGGCTGTGTCGGCAAGGAATGCCTTACAGATGTGAGTAACTTTCATGCTATGGTTCAGGTATCTGTGCCATACGATGCTGAGTATCATTGCCTTGTAGATATCGCGACCACTCGCGGGCCCCTGGAACTTCGTCCCGTGAAGACGCCGACCCCTTGTTCACCCGGATGCAGCGAGCGGAGGCCCGCGTCAAGGCTGCACAGATCGCTCTCCAGCAATCGGAACAACAGCTGAAGAAGCCGAATGACGCGTTAGAACATACAGGTATGACGGCGCTTGCTTATGTCGTAGCTCTCTGTTGACACATGCTTATTACAGAAAACGAGGCGGGCGCGCTACAAGAGCAGCTGGAAGATAAACGTCTCACCACGCTACTCTTGTCCGTCCTGGAACGCAAAGAGGCGATACGCAAAGAACGGATCAAGGAGGTTATCAAGCTTCTCAGCGAGCTCAGGTTTTTCCTCTTTTCCGCATGATAGATCGCTCGTCGTCTCAATATGTCGCAATAGGTCGAAAGTCGGAGAACAGAACACGGTGCGTCCTAAACATTTCGTCGAGTTTCCTTCGAAGCTGACTATATGCGAGCCCAGATCCAAGAAGAGGCGAAGACTTCGCTGCCCACCAGAACCGTTGTCACAAAACCTCTGCGCGTAGAACACACGCGCGATGCGTTGACTGTGAGTGCGCGCACTGCTCAGGCGTGCGTGTAGACAGCTTAATCGCCAAAAAAACAGTCACTGCAATCGCACAGCATTCGCCTCACACGGCTCTCCGCCATCGCGAGCGACAACACGCTCTCTGCTAGAACCAAGGATGCAGAAGCCCGTGTTCTCGAGGCTATAGCGCATTCGATGGGGTTGGACACTGGTGACCCGGATGTCATCGCCGCATAGTACGTGTTCTTCTACGTTTCAGACACACGCATCTCATGCTTCGTCCCCCAGCGAGACTTCTCTGGCCGCAGCAAGATCACGCGCTCGTGCAAGTGTTGAGTATCACTCACCTCTGCCTCACGCCGAGTCGAGCGAGGATCTGCAGGACGTATCACAACGGATTGTAAGTCTGTCTCGGCGACCATCCCTCCATACGCTAACAACATGCCTATTTCTCGATCGGGGTAGATCGAGAAGGAGCGTCGCCTTCAGGACCTCGCCGATGAAGCCTCTGCGCTCACGCTCGCATGCGTGCGGGCTCTTCAGACGGTACGCTGTCCGCTGTTCTTACACGCATATACGCGCTCATCACGGATTTAAAGGACTCCGTCTTCGTTCACGAGACTGCCCCACAGCTCAGAGGTGCGCTGGAGGAAGAAGCCGCGGCAGCTCAAGGACATGTGGACGCCCTTCGGCGCTCCATCATCAACCGCCCGAGACCCCCACAAACGTCACGGAGTGACAGTCTCGGCGGCGGGCGAGTGCGTAGTTTCGTATACCGCTCGAAATTTCGAAAGATGCTCACCACCCGCATGGGGTTTCCAGTCATATGAACAGACCCTATCCGATATTGAATGTCAATTCGCAAACGGTGAGTGTATAGTCCTCATCGTCGTACGAGCGCACAGTTGATTCTTCTGGCCCTACTCGCAGCCAGAGACGCAGAGTCGTTCCTCGAAGCAGCAGACGCGCTTGTCTCGCCAGACCCATCCGCGTCCGACGCGCACGCCGCGATAGCAGGTGAGCGGAGTGCTCCCTATCTACTCTCTCGACTTACATATTGCCAAAGCTTCATATGCGGAAGAAGAAACAGCGCTATCCGCGCGTCTACAGAAGCTATTGCAACACAAGGCGGCGAAGGCTGACGCGGGGCACGCGTTGGTCGAGGAAGTCGAGCGACTCATCGCCGAGGTCGGCATCATTGCAGGCACGCATAACTGAGGGCGAATGCGCCCGGCTATGCGGACACCAGCGGATAATTACTAGGGCCACTACCGGGCAATCTGTACAGATGGGGTGGTTCAGTGTATACGTCTCACAAAGCGTATGAAGCCAGCATAGCGTCAGATACAGAGCAATCATTGTGTTCTAGTCCAGACGACAATGAACCGGAATGGGGGATGGCCCAGCCCTCTATCGCATATGCGTACTCGACTTCAAAGCAACCGGACTGACATTCAAACCAATCGAGGTTCAGTCCAAAAAGACTACAAGGTGCCCTCTATGGTAGGACCGTTCAGTGGAAGCCCATCCAGCACTTCGCGCCACCCTCGTTATCGTCGCACTCGACGTCCGACGCGCCCTGGTCGATCGCCTGCACGAGCAGCCCCGCGCACGCGTCCCAGCAGTTCTCCGGGCTCTTGTAGTCGTGGCTGCCCTTGAACCACCCGCGCCCGCCGCAGTCCATCCCGTCCTACAGCGCAAAAAGCGGTGAGCACCGTGAGTAACAAAAAGGCTGGGAGAAGGGAGAAAGGGGCGCACCCAGTTGTCGGTGCGGTAGTTCTGGAGGCAGGTGTGCAGCGCACCCTGGTCGGTCGAGCCGAGCGCGTTGAACTGGCGCACGATGGACGCGTTGGCGGAGACCTGGCTAACAGCGAAGGCGGCGAGCGCGAGGAAGGCGGCGGTGAACTGCATGATGTCTGTAGATGGAGCTGTGGCGAGTGAGAAGGAGGGGGCAGTAGCGAAAGAATGGGCGACTCACTGTAGAAGCGGCAGGCTTGAGATTGTAGAGGAGAGGATGGTGGTGGGGGTGGTAGGGAGTATCACGGGTGGTTTTATACCGCCGCGAGCCTATCGTGGGCGCTGAACATGCATGCAGGTGTCCATTGCGGTCTACGAGCGCGCCATTGACCTTAGGGTGACGCACGGAATAGGACGTTGTTGATGCCCGACAGCGTGAGCAGGTCGGACTTCCACAATTATGCGCGACCTGATCACGGCGTTGTTGGAAATGGGTTCCATCGACACCATAGTGCCAACTCGCCTCACGAGATGCCGACTTGGACACCTTTTGCAAATAGACGGCTGACTGTTGGTCTGGTGCTGTCAACACAATGTGTTAACTAGTGAGCCGACGGCGTTTCATGGGTAGGAACCGAGGCCTCCGTCAGCGGCTGTGGACTCCTTTCGACGATCGGCATAGAGGCTGGGCACCGACGAGAGCGTCTAGTACTAGTACGTGTAAGTATGATAGCCATAGTAAGCGCCGCCGACCCGCACGGCGCCGGAAATGGCAACCGTAAGGTCGCGAGCATTGCAGGCTGGAATCGGCGTGGACGGGATGGGTTCTATCTCCATACCTCGTAATTGTCCCGGGGCGGATGGTAAGACATTTGGGTCAACTGAGGGGGCGCGTTAGCACAGTTCGAGGTCATTTGGATACGAGGGAAGTCACTCACCGTGCAAGGCCGTCGTAACAATATGCTGAACGCTACACGCGTGCAACCGAGACGTCAAAATATCTCACTTAGTCACTGACGGCCCGAGTCCGAGTCTCTTGCAAATTACAGAGCCCGGACGTCCGTTGCGTACACGCATCCACTTCTTTTCGGTGTATTGTTTCTACCATAGTTTACAGAGACAGTCTACCCGGCGTGGCCCAGGAAAGCAAATGGACCTGAGCAGGAGCGCTGGAGTGTGGTGAAGAGGAGAGACTCCAGCAGCCGCTGCGTCAATGGTCCTGTTCGTTGACTGGGCGCCCAAATTCTCACGCCACAAGGAGGGAAATATTTTGCACAGCCATTAAGCGCCTATTTGAGTGACCTCCTCATCCACGCCTTGAACCCCGGTGAAAAGTCGGTCTGGCAGGCGCTGGCAGAAACGGGCTATATCCGGCATGCCAGACACAGCCATAGCTCGTCAGGAATCCCGCACTATACCAGGAAATTCTCTGGCAATTCCAGCGTGCGGTCTGTACATGTCCGACGTCTTCCGGCAACATCTGGCACCGGTCTGGCAGGGCAGATATGGCCAGGATACCTCCGTTCCCCAGCTAGTACCCCCCGTTCCCCTGCTCTCAGGCAGGCGAACTGGCCAATTCCGGCAGGATCTGGCATGCGCCAGAAAAAGCTGGCAACTTCTGGCATTCTCGTGGATACAGACAGGCCCCGCGCACCCCGTACGCCCGCGCGCTCTCCGCACCCTCCTGCGCCCCCCCCCCCGCGCCCACCCGTAGCTCTCCTGCGCTGCTCGCCCCACGCGCGCCCTCCTGCTCGTCTTGCCAGCCCCGTGCGCGCCCCCCGCTCGTCTTGCCAACCCCGCGTTCTCCGGCCCCTCGTCTTGCCTTCACGCGCGTGCAAGTCCTCGTGCTGCTGCCTCTTGGGCTCTCCGTCCACGGACCCGGCCCACTGCTTGCGCGGCCCCGTACCTTACTTGGCCTTCGCCTTACCCTTACGATCCTTCGGCGCAGCTTCTGCTTTGTAGTAGTTCTAGAGACAATATATCAGTGTTCTACGATGTGGCCGGTTCGATTATGATGGATCTTACCTCGCGCTCCTCCTTGCCCAAGTTGCCCCAAGCGTCGACGATCATATCGAGCGTGTCGTCGCCACATAGGAGCGCATATTCACGACTGTAGGTGGCGTAGATTAGCTTTGTAGCCTCTAGGAGAGAAAGGGAAGCTTACAGTGCATCATACTCCTGATACCCATCCGTCTATAATCAATATTGCTGCTGCCATGCAATTGCAGTGGGACGTACCTTTAAAACGGCCTTGTCAAGGCCTTTCCAGACCTTGTCGAAGTCGACCGCCGACGTCGAAGGGTGCTCTTTGATATACATAAACGCATAGAGGTTTCTGCAATGTGGCCACGCCGATGACGAACATGTAAGCAAACCTCAAGTGGGGATATGATCGGACACTGACCTAGCTGTCTTGTGCTTGGAGATCCTCATCTTCGCTGCCTTCTTTCCCTGATCCAGCGTTGACGAACCTGCAGACGGCTCGCTGGCTGGCTTCGAGGACATTCCGCTGTTGCCCTTCTTGACTAGCGTTCCTAGTAGATTTGGGAGGGGGCCGGCTGCTGGGTTACGAAACATAGCACTGGCGATGCAGGTGCGAGTGAGATACGTGCGCGGGGGCTAGCAGAGAAGTTGAACTCACAGGGGATCCCCGACCTGAAGTGGAAAGTCCGCCGGTAGGCAGTGAGCGCGCGGCCTAAGACGGGGTTAATTACAACGCACCTTGAACTTTGTAGCCGGCACGATTGGCTCGTTCAACGGGGACTCCGGGGAAGACGCGGCGGCAGAGGACAACGGCGGATCGTTTTCAGTCAGTGCAGAGCCAGAGCCAAGTGAAGACAGCAGCGCAGTAGTAATCGGCGACACCTCAGAGGTAGTACCGGCGAGCTGAGAGCCTCCCGCGAGGCGTGTCGTCTCAGATCCAGAGGCAGTTAAGCCGTGCAGCAGACCGCCAGCAGCAAGTTCGGACGTCGCAAGAGAGTCGCCTTCAGAGGTAGGAGCTGCGTCGGAGCCAGTGAGAGAAAGCGCAGAAGCAGCCGGCGTGACAAGGGAAGAAGCAGGCTCAGGCAGAGGAGACACGTCGCGGTCCGGGGATGCTGCGACGTTGCGGTCGGAGTGCACACCGCTGGCATCACGATCTATCTCCGCAATGATGAACTCTGAACCTGGAAGGCTGTAAGCCGCACAAAGAGAGGTCTTCAGTCTGTGAGAGAACGACTATGATTGCATAGTACTGTACCTGTAAGCCGCACAAAGAGAGGCTACAAGTACTAGTAAGTAAACATGTAAGGAAGCATAGGTAGTGTGGGACTTACTCTTCAGTCTGTGAGAGAACGACTGAAGAGCAGAGGCCTGCAGAGTCCTCCTTATATACTACTGGGGAGGACGATGAGTAAGCGTATAGGAAGAGGGCATGTGACGTCCAGAGGACGCTGACTGAGCGATGAATAACGCTGAGTAAGGGAGCATAATCGACATAAGGTCAGATAGTCCATGGCTGAGTAATGCGAGTAATCCGGACGCTGTCTAGAATAGTCCGGAACATCGTAGAACGTACCAGAATCATATGGAGGGATGGCAGGATGCCAAGTAAGTACAGAACAAAAGAATGTACGTATATGGTAAGTAGGAAAGTCCATGCTGGCGTATGGTAGACGCACAGCCACTATCACTGCCACTCCCGGTCCGGCACAGCCGTAGACACAGAAGTTCAACACTCCCACTCGTTCAAGATGTGGAGGACACCAAGCCAATGCTGCG